AATTTATCGGTCTAGAGCAATAAGGAACCTAGCACCACCCCATTGGGAATTAGTTTCCACCTTGCAATTGCTGTGACTACTGAGTAGTATAATTTCAAACGAAATCATAATACACTGTCAGTTTGTCATTTTGTACATTTGTGTCAAATTTGGTTATATTCAGACAATTATTGGTGTATTATTAGCCTTTTATGGCAGAATAAGCCAATTCACACCAAATTATTCAAATCTTCAGCCACACTGTGCTTAAGTCATGATATTTTCAATATGATTGTTTTAAAAAAAATTTAATTTGATTTAAACTCATGAATTAGTAAGCAATGTCTATTCTCCATCTTTTTTCAACCATGATATTACTGAAAGTTTTTTAAGACTTGTATTTGCAAAATTGTTAGGCTTAGTGAAAAACATAACATTCAGAAATGCTCTTCGCTTAAAGACATACAGTAAAGCTTTCCATGTATATGTCAACAATGACGTGCAGTTACTGATTTGGCTCCCTCTGGTGGTCAGAGAAAAACTGTTGCTCTGAACAAAATTTGCTGAAATCAAATTATAGGATTTCCTGTACAGTACAACGTACACATTATGCAAAGTGTTAATGTGTCATTAAGATGCATAATTTGAAACAATAATCATGTCTTCATTTTAATCTTAGACAGGAATAATTACATTTTAGATTAGTACATTGAGCATTGTAAGAGCCAACTTAAGCCAATTCAAACCAAATGTCATATGTTTCCTCAACTGATAATTTTCAATGTATATATCAATTTTAGTCACAATCGGAGCATAAGTGACAGATTTGTGGTCCCTTGTTTCCGAATAGGCTGGACCGCACTGATTGATCCATAACTTGCAATAATATTGTGCTTAAAAGCCAAGGTTTTTTAAATAATTATTGATCTTTAGACTTCGACGGTTGTTTAGAGACCAAGTTTGAGACAATGCAAAAACATTTCAGCAAGCAGTATGAAAACATCAGTTTGTAAACTCCGATGATTTACAGAAAAACAATAAAGTTTTTTAAAAGACTTGTATTTGCAAAATTGTCAGGCACAGTGGAAAGCAAAAATTACAGAAATTGTCTTGACCTAAAGACATAGAGTAAAGCTTTCCACTAATAGTATATTTTTTATTAATTAGTTGAACATTGACATTTGCAGTTATTGATTTGGCTCCCTCTGGTGGCCAGAGAAATATAAAACACCTCTTGCTCTAATTAAAATTTGCTGAAATCAAATTATATGATTTCCTGTACAGTTAAGCAACCTACACATATTTGCAAAGTGTTAATTCTTATTAAGATGCATAATTTGAAACAATAGTCATGTCTTTATTTTAATCTTAGACAGGAATAATTACATTTTAGATTGTTGGCAGTACATTGAGCATTGTAAGAGCCAACTTAAGCCAATTCACGCCAAATCTCATAGGTTTCCTCAGCTGATTATTTGCAATGTATATATCTTTTTTGGTCACAATCAGAGCATAAGTGACAGATTTGTGGTCCCTTGTTTCTGAATCGGCTGGACCAAACTGATTGATCCATAACTTGCAATAACATTGTGCTTAAAAGCCAAGGTTTTTTTTAATAATTGTTGATCTTTAATAATAATTGTTGACAATTTAATAACTGTTGAGACTTTGACGGTTGTTTAGAGACCAAGTTTGAGACGTTGCAAAAACATTTCAGCAAGCAGTATGAAAACATCAGTTTTCAAACTCTGATGATTTACAGAAAAACAATAGAGTTTTTTATAAGACTTGTATAAGCAAAATTGCTTGGCTCAGTGGAATACATAAAATTCTGAAAGTTCCTTTGCCGCAAGATAGATGTTGCAAAGACTATGACCATAAGTATGTTTGAAGTCATAATTTGCATTTAATGCTGATGCTCCCTCTGCTGGGCAGAAAATATATTACCCTTATTAATTATGTGGCCATCCTGGCTTTAACTCAAATTTCCACATTTCCTGTGCAGTTTTGGAACAGACATATAATTGCAATGTTTTAGACGTTAATAAGATGTGTAATTTAAAACTATTATCTTTTCTTTATTTCATTCATAGAAGAATATAATGCATAGAAAAATATAACTTTGCATGTTTCATCAGAAAACAGTAGTGTACAAGTTTACCAAGATTTATCACAATCACCTAAAAACTAAAGAATCTATAGCCCCCTAAGTCAGAAAAGGCCAGGCCAAACAGATTCATTGGTGTCTCATGTCTGTTCTTTGCAATAAAGTCAAGTTTTTTTTGATAATTATTTACCTACGGACTCCACAGATTGTTTGAAGACCAAAATTGAAACAGTTGTTTTAAAATCCACAGACTAATTTGAAAAGCTCAATTTTCAAACATTGATCAATCAAAGAAAAACTTTACAGAATTTTAAAAGACTTGTATTGGATAAAATGTCATGCTCAGTGTAAGCAATGATATTTATTGATTTATTTTGATATATGATAAAATTTATAGGACTTATTCTCGTTTATACTCTGTAGCGCCACCTCATGGCCAATTGAGGTCAAACTTTATAGGCTATTAGAGATTGCCTATATGGACACATGATATAATTTTTGTGATGATTGGCCCTCCAAATGCCTGTTGAAAGCTTATTGTCCAATGGCGGCCATATTTGTCAAATGATTCAGTTGTCCTTAATAGATCTTGTAAATATTAGGCCATGGATACAGCATGCAAAGTTTCAGCTCAATTGGCCGAGCGGTTGCTGAGAAACAGATTTTTCGCTGTAATAGCGCCCCCTATTGAGTAATCGGTATCAACCTTGGTGGGCTTCCACAGAATCATGTGGGGTACAGGACATTTATGTGAATTAAGCCAAACCCAGAGGGGCTTAATTGGCATGTGCCAGCCATACTGTTTATAAATATTCAAATTTTTTTTATAATTCTTGACCTCCAGACTCCCCTGAACATTTTGAGACCAATATTGTGTTGATATCTTGAAAAACCTCAGACTAGTAGAAAAATGTAGATGTCACATATTTTGTCAATTATGATGATAAATTTGGGGACGGAGCTAAAAACATGCAGAGGGGCATTGATGTAGAATAAAGCAAGGATTATGTAGAAGCAAGAATTTTGAGGGTAGCCCCCATGGTTCAGGAGATATGGGCAAAAATGTAAAATGTTGCTCTATAGCACCACCATCAGGCCAACTGGGGTCATTTCAGTTGCCTGAGTAGTGGGGGGGAATCTACACCTACCCTCTAAGTTTGGTCTTTGGATGACTTACGGTGTCTTCTCCACAAACCATTTTAGGGCAGAAAAAGAAGAAGAAGAAGAAGAAGAAGAAGAAGAAGAAGAAGAAAAATCTGAGCAAAAGCAATAGGGTTCCATGCACCTAAAGGTGCTTGGACCCCTAATAAGATTCTGATGAACAGTAAGTTGGCTTTTCCAACCCTACTTAATGATATGGTCCTTTAAATGCTGCTGCAAATTTCATCTCATTATTGTGAAACATTAGGAAAAAAACTTTTTTCACACGTTTTGCGGGTTATTTATTTATTTATTTTCATTTTATTTATTTATTTATTCATCCATTCTGATAACTAGATGTTGTACAATAACTAATGCATGTTGTTACAGAAAAATAAAGCAATTCTAAAATTTAAAAATATAAGCCACAATCACAAAACAACATAAATTGACAGTATTAGCAAGATCATCTTTGTATCAAGTAAGAATTGAAGTGTAGCCACATTTATGTACTCTAATCTATCTAAAGATAATGTTTGTATATTTTACTTTATCATGTCTAAAATCCATTCAATTCAAAATACTGAGTCTATCTGTAAGGTTTTTTTCGAGGAAAGGTGAAAAACTCGTTAATACCCTTGATTTCAGAATAAACACTGGTTGGAATTTCCAGACACTTTTGGACAGTGGATTTCAAAGTCTCTTCTTTGCTCGGTAGACATTGCTACACTTCAAGGTGATGCTGACTCTTCAAAAACTATAAGAATATAAGAAGTGATTACTGCAGGATCCATGGCCAATGTTCCTGTATAAAACAGGCAGCTTTTTGAATTACACATTGCCAGACCAGCACATTGATTTCAGTCTCTCTTTCTCTCTCTCTCTCTCTCTCTAGTCCTAGAGACAGCATGTTGGCTATCTTCCCATTATTAGGAAGGAGAAAGGAATGAGTTGCAGCATGAGTCTACATTGAGAATGACCAAATATAGGCATTTCATGGGTGAGGCGGGCGAGGTAGGGGCAAATGCACTATAAACTGGCCTGCTGTTGTTCAAATCACTCCTCAGATTTCCAGCAGGGCTTCACTGCTGGATAAAGGTCTTGAAACAAGACATTTCTGTTGACACAGCATCTGCTGTTCCCGGGATCTATGTTATCACAATATGTAAAATGTTCCCTCTTTAACAGAGAGGACCATTTTCCAAGGGTGTTTCATTTGCAGTGCACTACTAAGTACATGTGAATGTCCAAATTGTAACGTGATTTGCAGGTCTATGATCTTAGCAAACCCTTACCAAAGTACACTGTCTGTCCAGAACTTTAGAGACAACTGCTCATCCAACGCTTCTTATGAAATCAATGGTATTAATTGGGAGTTTGCCCATACTTTTAGGTTTTTAAGTGCATTCAGCCACAAGAACTTTAGTGAGGTCATGTACTGATGTTGGATGATTAGTTCTGGATCACTCCACTTCAACCCAAAAGTATGGCATAGTACTCCATCACTCAAGAGAATGCAATTTCATTTCTCCAAAGCACAGTGCGTGGGGCTTCATATCCCTCTAGCTGACATTTAGCATGGGGATCTTAGGCTCACATGTGGCTACTCTTGTAAAACTTGTAAAATTTAGTAATTGTGCTGTGAGGAAATCCAATCAGTTCAGTCAAGCCTACTATTTTTATTCTGTTGACAAAAGACAAAACACCATATGGCCATTTACAACAAAGCATTAGATTTGCTTTGCCTTAGCCAAGAAATTTCTTCACTACACGGTATGTGTGCTGCAGTACTTTATTAGGATCTGTTTAACATTGTGTGTTTATCATAATGACAACTATTCATTTGTCATGAATTAGTCATTCTATCTGCTTATGTCATTCTATCTTTACTTATGGTGTACACTGCTGAACATCAAACAAAAGCCAATTATGCCAAATAAGGCCTTTTTTACTTAAACAAGTTTTATCTTCAAGATTAAGAGAGTGTTGTTATGAGTATGAGTGCAGAAAACCCAACAAATATCCAAACGTTTTTAAAAGTTGATAATACTGGAATGATTTTCTAAGACATCAGAACTCAATCGAAATAATGAGTCCACTTGTGTCTCCATCGGAGAGATGAATTAACTGGCATGCTACCATTTCTTACAGAATAATATTTCCACCTGCACAGCTGATACCAAAAGGACAAGTGGCACTCAAAATTGTGGCACTACACAATGTTGCCAAATGTGAAGAGCTTACAGTTCTACACTGTGGAAGACACTGAGATCAGTCATCAAAAACATGACACACTCCACCCAGCAAAAGACTGTCATTTTTGAATTGTGTAATGTCTTTGTAAGCACTTGAAATCATATCTTTTCTATTTAGGAAGTCATTTTCATCCTGAGTCATTTGCAAAACTTCAGCATTAATAAGATTCATCTGCCTTATAATTCTACTAAGACCTAGTATACTATTTAGGGTATTAACGTGAATCGACTGCTGTGTTTACATTACAGGAAAGTTTGAAAAATAATTCAAACCAAATAAGAGATTTCATATTGCTGTACACTCTTGAAAAATAAAGGTTCCTAAATGGTTCTTGGCTTGGATGTATGGTTCCAAGATAAACCTTTGATTGGCTTTTACACTATGTGGACTGTAAAATAAGTTTTTAACACTTCCATATTTTATTTACAAAAAAATGGTTCTTTATAGAACCATTCATTGAAATGTTCTTTAGTGAACCAAAAAGGGTTCTTATATGGTATCACTCCAAAAAACCCTTCTTGGCACCTTTGTTTTTAAGAGTGTCCACCAGGCACATTTACAACATTTTCCATAATGTGTTAACCATAGCATTGTACAATTTCATAATATTTGATTCAGTTCCCCTTTAATTCCCTGATAATTTAGAATCTGTTAACATCATGATTTGAATTCAAAATGATATTTTCCTTTTTACTGTCAACACAGTCATACACACATACAAACTGTACTGCACACACTCTTCAATATACCATATGAATTGCTTCACTTAGTGCAAACAACAAGCAAGGCATCAACGGGTACTGTCAATTTCAGCTTCTAAGAACCACAACTTCACCAAGCTTCCATTCCTCTCCATAGTCCACTGTACTGCGGGAGAATCCTGAGCTGAAGCTGTGCATCCTACGCAATGATACCACATTCACACCCTTCCTTTCATAGTACAGGGCAGTAGTAGACTCTGATGCCTGATCTCCTCAAGGTCTGTGAGATGTTTGGCCTCTTTCTCTTGCCCTTCTTTTCTTTGTCTCTCCTTCACTCTTCTCTGTCTGTTTATTGCAGTAGTTTGGGTAATGCAACCTTTGTGGAGAAAAAGGGAAAAAAAAACACTAATTAGAGTCCTTATGAACCATCTGGATGCAAAAGAATTACTCTTTAAAGGGCAAGTCTCTTCATTGTTTCATATGTTTGGTCCTACACTTTTAAAAAAAGGTCTTTGCACTGTGCCATAGAGGAAACAATTTTTGTTCCCTGAAGAACTTACTAATAGGGTTCTTTGCATGATAACAATTTTGGTTCCCTCAAAAACCCATCTTAGAACCTACACAAAATTTGAATGTTCTATGAAGAATCCTTACATTGTTATAGAACTTTTACAAAGGTTCTTTACACTTCCAAAAGGTTGTCACACTCATAAATCCAAAAGAGATCCAAAAGTAGTTCTCCCTATGGCACTGCTCAAAGAATTATTTTGTGGAACCACATTAACAGTACTCAACTTTACTATTAAAATAAACGGTGGGCTATTACAATTCCTTGCCTTTTTGAGTTGTTTAATGTTGGCACCCCTTATAGAGGCTAGAAGTTGGTCTCTTGAATTTAGACTTCCACCTCGGCCTCCAGTCCTGTCATCAAGCTTTCTTCGAGACACAGGGGTCAGGGAGTTCTTCAGGAAGTCACCATCCATTATTGGGGGTGGTGGTGGTAAGCCCCCAGGTGGTGGAGGTGGGGGCGGTGGACCACCAGACCCCTTTTTGGGTGTTAACTTAGGAGATGGTACAGGAGATGGAGTGGGAGATGGCTTTGGTGAGCTCCTTGGAGAACCTTTGTTGAAGCCAAGCTTCGGGACCTCAAGTGCGTCTTTCTTGTCTCCATTGCCTTGGGCTTGGGCTTGCTTTTGCTCTTGCAGCCGCTTCTGCCTCTGCCGGTCCATGTTGCGACTGAGGATGTTAGTCATGGTCATACGTGGACCGGCTAACTCAAAGTGGTAACCCAGTTTTAAGAGTGTTGTGTTTTCCTTCAAAATCTTCGTCATCTCCATTTCCGTCTTGCCTCCACAGATGTGCCGCTGATTGTGGAAACGGAGTTCGGTGAGGGTGGAATTGTGCTGGAGGGCCTGGACCAGTGCCATGATGCCTTTGCTAGTGAGAAGGTTTGAATCCAGGTTGACGCTAGTGATGGTTTTGTTGTTGCGTAAGGTTTCTGCAATAGCGTAGGCCACATGGTCATCTGCACGGCAGTTAGCAAGGGCAAATGTCTTGATGTGTGTGTTGTTACTCAGAGCTTCAGCAAACTGAATGAGGGTTTTGACCTTGATTACCTCAGAGTTGTTGACATTGAGTTCAGTCATGCCAGGGTTGTTGCATTTAACCCTTTCCAGATCTTCAGCAAACATGCTAACAGACTCCTCTTCCTCTTCCTCTTCTTTGCTCTTTGTTTTTGTGTTTTTTTCTGCCACACAGTTTCCAACTTTTTCTTCCTTGCTGGATTCATTTATATTTTGGAATGTACTTTGCTCTTTGGCTTCCTCTTTTCCCTTGTCGATAGAACTCATCTTTAGCTCCTCTTTCCCTTTTACAATTTCTTTATCCATCTTCTCTTTCTCGTTCTCTTTATCTGTGCTATCAGTTTCTTTTCTAACATTATTTTTTATTGAATCTCTATTCTTATCATTAGACTTCACCAACTCTGGCCGTTTGTCTGTTTTCTCCCTCTCTTCTGTCTTCCTCTTTTCATCTGGTTTAATCTCTGCAACCTGATTTTGTTTTTCTTCTAACTTGGAAACAAGGCTTTTTGTCTTGCTGTCTTCTCTTTTCCTGACTTCATCTCTTCTCTCACGTTCCTTCCTTTCCTCCTTCTCCTGCTTCTCTTGCAACCTGGAGATCAGGTCCCTTGTCTTGCTGTCCCCTGATTCCCTCTTCCGGCTCTCCTCTTTTCTATCCTTCTCTTTAGGGTCCTCTTTTTTATCTTGAAGCTTGGATATCAACTCTTTCGTCTTGCTGCTGCTGTCTTTTGTCTCTCGTCTTTCTTTGAGCTTACAATCATCATTCTGTGTTTTCTCCGTGACCTCACCTTTCTTTGCAATTTCTTCCTCCCTCTTAAAGGGCCCTGCTCTGATATTTTTGGGTTCTTCTGTAGTTTTTGTGGTCTTATTCTCCATTTTACTCTCTCGTTCATGAGGAGCACTGGGTGTGGAAATGCTGGCTTGTCTATGATGGCCTACATCCCTGGTGTCAGTCTTGGGGACATTCTTCTCCTGACTCAGGCCCATTTTTCTCAGATACTCCTGCTTCCGACTTTCCCTTCTAGGCTCACCCTAAAAAAAGAACATAGCAGGAAATATTACTGATACATGCACAACTTATTACTTAGTCAGAGCAAGAGTCACATGAGTAACAGTCCCCACACCCAGATGTTTGTGCACTCTATTAAGAACATTTTGAATTTTTCATACTGGAACCAAGAAAACTTCAACACAGTGAGCTTCTAGTACTCTCTCTGTTTAGCCTAAAGTTTTCAGATTATACAGCTAAATATGACATTAATTACTATATAAACCTAATGAGAAATGTTCTGTACATTGAGTATCAGATACTTCATGTTTACATTTGTGTGGCCAGCCTTTTTATACACAGGCATAAATCTACACAGTGGCTGAGTGTTTGATTTGTGAGCCATAGTCTGTTTTGCTGTGCAAAGCTTCCAGCCATGGCAGACATAACCTTAAAAGGCAGCGCTCAAAGAAGCAATCAACCAAGGAATCCCATCAGGCCTGGCCTTCAGAACCACCACAGAGTCGAGAGATTTCACTTCTTTCGAAGAGCTTAACACAAGCATGGTCTGTGGTTAAGACAGCTTGTTCTAGCTTTTACATCACCTGTTTCCATATGATTAGATACAAAGACTAAGACTACAATGGCTGCATCAAATGGGAAACATGACATACATGATGCCTTCAAAATGTCACTACAAAATGAAACAATTTAAAAACAGTGCCCAAAATACTATTATCACTAGTCAAGCTGCAGTTTCCTTAAAAGACTGAGGAGTTGCAAAGGAAGGTGCACCATCTTCAGATGCTTACTGGACACTTGAAAGGATGGTTGACCGTTATGATTACTGTGTGTGATTCTTTCAAGCTCAGCTTAACAATTCTGCTAGACCAGCAGCTATTAAACATTGCAGCACTGACATACCTCTGTGGACAAGTTCCTTTGCAAACACATTCTGGACTCATCATCACGATTGCTCGAGCCTGACTCCTTTTTATAAGGTGCGCTTTGTTTTAAATCAGTTTGGTCCACAACGATGATTTCGCTCGGGTCGGGATCCGGCACAGTGGACACCTCCTTCTGCAGCTCCTCCATTTCTTCTGGTGACAGGTTTGACAGCAGGTTGTCAAGATCTGGGTCCTCGCTCACCTGGCGCCCAGTTCGCGTCAATCCCCTTACCTTTCTCCGGGACATGACTGTGCACTTCAATAAAACACTCAATTTACAAACGAAACAATTCTATATATGCATATGGCTGTGGTTGTCTCACCCCTTGTATATTCCCATAAAGCAAAACTGATACATTTAAGAGAAGGAGCAGTGGAGCCCGTTCGGAGGCACAGTACCGGAGGCTCTCATGACTGCTCTAGTCTGCATGGACATTCCTTGAAATCCATTATGACTGCATGCCCATATTTAGCTGGTGGTGCACACTCCTTTAAAGGCAACTGGGAGGGATGTAGTTTACTAAAACTCCAAAGTATCTGGGATACTTATTTCCTATTTGTGATAACGTGTGACTGTTTTTCTTATGTAGTGATGAAATAACAGCCTAACACAAATGTTCCACAAACATTCTAGAGAATTTAACACTGATTCATATTGTGTTTACAGCAATAAGTGAATGATACAAAATTCATAAAATGTTTTGTTGACAAGAACAACTGAAGAGACATTCAAGTACAAGACCAGTTGTTTATTGTAAAAAGTGAGCTTTGCATTATAGTGCTTCCATTTCAGGCTGTTAGATTAGAACTCTGTTATAATGGGTAGAATTTAAGTTCTAACTCTAGTAAAGTTTTGCATCATTCCATGAGTGAAATGGTTATTTTTTGTTATGTAAAACATATATCTCTTTGTCTTTTGTAGATATACAGTATCAGTTTTCACTTCACATTCCAAAGGGATGAATAAACAATAAATTACACCAACACTCTCTACATAATATCACAGGATATTTGCATTAAAGTATAAGTAATTTCAGCAGTACACAAACCATCACAACTAAATCTGGTTCGTATACTCTGTACCACAGGGTAACTGCAAATGAGTTCCAGTTTAGATTGGTATTTATGGCATTAATGTGAGGAGGTAGTAACGCTTACTTAAATCACAGCAGATACAAACGGTTTCAGAAATGTTTTCACTTAAATTCCTTTTTCCAATAAACCTACCAGTGTTCTCAGTGGACAGTTCCTTTAGTGCTTTCATCAGAAAAGGTATCATCCCCAAATTGTCTTTCTTTACAATTTGATGATCTCATAAACTTTCTTGAACATTATTTTTATCTCAACATACACTCACTGACTACTTTTTTTATGTAGGTACACCTACCTTGCACCTCTACTTCTTGTCCATTTTATCAGGTCCACTTTCTGTATAGCTGCATTATGTAGTTCTACATTTGTAATGTTTCTCTGCATGATTTGTTAGCCCTTCTTTACTCTGTTCATCCATGGTCAAGACTTCGCAGGACTATGTTTAAGTAGACATTTAGGTCGTGGATCATTCTCAGCACAGCAGTGACACACACATGGTGTTGACATGCAATTGTGTGTGTGCTGCACTGAGGATCACCTACAGCAGTGCTGCCTGAGTTTTTAAACAGCTCAGTGTCACTGCTGGACTGAGGATCACATACAGCAGTGCTGCCTGAGTTTTTAAACAGCTCAGTGTCACTGCTGGACTGTTCACCATCCAACACCAACAGTTCACCATCCAAAAATATCCAATGAATAGTATCCTGTGACCAGAAACTGACCACTGATGAGGGACTAGATTATGACTAACTCAAACTGTGTGGCAAGAGAGACAAGTTATCGTCTCTAACTTTACATCTACAGGGTGAACCAAGGTAGGAGTGTTCTAAAAAGTGCACAATAAGTGTACACAGTGTTTAACTCCAGCAGCAGTGCTGTGTTTGATCCACTTGTACCAGTGCAGCACACTTACCTGTCACTACCATTTCAGTGTCACTGCAATAATGAGAAAGATCCATCATCCAAATATAACTGCTTAGTGGTGGTCCTGTGGGGTTCATAGTCATTGATGAACAGGGCACAATGGCAGGGCTAACAAATTATACAGACAAACAAACAGACTACAGTCTGTAATTGTAGAACTACATAATGGACCTGATAAAATGGACAATGGGTGTAGATACAAGGTGTAATGAAGTGGCCAGTGAGTATGCATCAAGACCGTTAAAGAAAAAACAACAACTGAAATAACAGAGATATGCTCCGCTAAGTTGCATGAGAAAATCATTTGAAAACAAAATTTATAGAAAGGCTGTGAATTTTAAGTAAGTATATCTGTTCTACCTCTGTTATCGTCAGCTAATTTTATTGACCTCTGTAAGGCAAAACATGTTGATTAGGTAGCATAAGCTACAGCAACAGTTAAAGTTGGGTTGAAGTCTGAAGGAACCTTAGTTAAGGGACTTACTTAATAAACTGCCATTATTAAGTAAGACACAAACATGAACAGACAAAACTAAAATTAAAAGTAATCAGCTTGGTGGTAAAAAAAAAACTAATATATAAGACAAATCTAAATGCTGTGGAATTTTTATTAACTCAAGTTTTTGGACTGTCATTCATATGTGCTGTAAAATACTGTAGTCTGTTGTTGTAGACAGACTGACAAACACATAAAAAGGAGTCTGCAGCAGATGAAACAAAGACAGTCCATCAACCTGCAGCACAAGTTTTCAAAAACACTAAAAACACTAAAACTCTAAATGTCCTTCATGTGAATGTTACGCAAAAAACAACTGTGATACACCAGGGAATTAAAAGTAAAAAACCAAGATGGCCTGATGTTGGATGGTATGTAAATTGGTGAGGGAGTTATATGTTTCAACGAAGGTAAATATGTCTTAGCAGTTAGTAAAATGAGACATGTGTTCACAGTGGGACTCACTCCAACAGCAGGCAAACCCAGGCCATTCATGCTGCACTCCAAAGAACACTTGAGAAATAAATACAATAAATAAATTAACATTTTTAAAAGTGCCACAGGTTAGTCAACGGACTCCTCAAGAGCAGTGTCTCATGCCACCAACTAGTCTTTGTTGTGCTCTCTTAAATGGAGGATTCCTCAGTGGTCTCAGTGGCCTGGGTACTGTGGAGGGGAATACGGTGGAGGAGCTGCAATACAGAACACAATAAATGAGTTAAGCAAAAACACAAAGCTTACCTGCTTTATCATAAGCAGCACCAAATACAACCCTAAATCAGAAAGGTTGGGATGGTATGTTAAATTAAAACTGAAAACAGTGATTTGTAAATTATTTTTGACTTGTATAACACTGAAAACAACAACCTGATGTTTTACTTTGTGCAATTTATAGTTTTTTCAAATGAAACACATTTTAATTTGGATTCTGAACAGCACAGGGTCTTTGCCGTTGCACTTTGCGTTTTAAAATGCCCCACACATTCTCTGTTGGGGACAGGTCGAGACTGCAGGCAGGCCAATCCGGCACCTGGACCCTCTTCTTCCTCAGCCAAACCTTTGTAATGTGTGCAGAATGTGGTGTTGCGTTATCTTGTTGAAATATGCATGTAAGTTACTTTGGCCAAGATCATTGACATGACCCTATACCATGACACACCCTGGCTTTTAGACCTGTAGCTGGTAACATTCTGGATGGTCCTTGTCATCTTTGGCCTGTTTCACATTACATCTTTATTTAATTATTCTACCTCATTACTAGTCTTAAACCACCCCCATCCTAACTTTTTTTGGAATGTGTTGCAGGCCTGAATGGCAGGAACAGATGTATATTTACAAATGAAGTGAAGTTGACCAGTAAACATGAAATATTTTGTGTTCATAATGTCTGCAATGTCAAAGTAGTCAGAGTAAATTTCAGGAATGACTACTTTCTTTTTTTTTTTTATTTGCATTTTCCATATCATCCCAACTTTTACATGAGTTGGGGTTGTATATTATGCCTTTTATACCAGGGTGGAAAGTGTACTAAAAATTTCTCCTTCTTCTACCTCTGCTTTTACGTGACACATACAGAGAATAAAGGTAACTCTATAAGCCACTAACCTTGTCTAGTAGATTTTTAAAATAGTCAATTACCTCCTTGACTGTACCCTGGATCAGCAGGAGGGTAAGGGGGGTAAGGCCCCTGCATCATCATAGGATAATGCGGAGGCATACCAGAGTACTGTGAAGCCACAGGATATCCAGGGTTCTCAGGGTTTCCAATGGGTTTACCATATGCGTCATACATGGGTTCCACAGGGTAGCTGGCCATTGGAATCTGCTGGGCTGAAAGTTAAAGTACGTCACTCACTCATAGCAGGCTGAGTAAACTACAGGTGTCCATGCCTAAGTATCTGAATGCATCTATTTAAAAAAAAAAAAGTAACTAATATGTAAAACATGCTGATAAAACCTTTAATGTTGTGGTAAAATGAAGCTCTCTCAGCCTTTTAGCTGTCTCTTTTCTGTTAATAATATGATTTCTCAATGCTGTCATTTATTGTCACTTAACAAAACCAAAGGTTTGTAAATTTTTTTTATTCGTTTGTGTCACAGACTACCATTTTGAGCAAACAGACATATGAATAGGACCATCCTTCAAAATTCAGTTAACAATTTTATTGTTGCTCTGATGAAAGAAATCAACAAATCCATAGTGCTCTAAATTCTGCTGTGAATGTGTGTGCATGCTCACTCAGAAACTATCACAGGGCATCCAGTAATGAAGGTAGCACAGTGCTTCCTTTATATAGTTTATATAGAAAACAAGACAGCACACAGAAAGCTCCAGTTTCGCACACTGATTCATTTTACAATGGTCAATGCAGACACTGGACATGCATGCATTGTAACTATCTGGGGCAGATTTCAATGAGTTAGACAAAGTCTCTGAATGTATCACTGACAAAATGTTAGGTAAGAGGGTCAAGAATTCTCTAAAACATGCTGTGCATCATATACGATACTTCTGGGTTTCTATAATACAAATAAATTAAGGTTCATACCTATACAATGCATTAGCTCCTAATGTACATTTAAGCCCTATTTGAGGTGGATTAGTTTTACCATAGGCGGTCCAGTAATAGCCCAGACGTTCCTGTCAGCATAAAGATTAAAATTATATAAGCCCAAACCAACTAACCACAACTACCTCCAAGGCCAAATTTAGGAAAAATGAGAAATTGCACTGCCCTGTGAGACCAACGTTCAAGAAATTTTATTTTCCTTCTCCTTCTAATTGGGCCATCAGCATATTACCTAAAGAGGAATAGGTTTGACCAATTATATAAGATACTTCACTCTGGAATTATTACTTAACATACCTGAAAACCCCACACATTTCAAATTTGTACTATACTAACATCACAGATCTCAAGGGTAATCACTCAAATTTCAGGACTACCCCAAGTAAAAGTAATCCAGCTTGAATGAGTTGTTTGTTTGTGGTGGGGTGTACCTTCATAAGTTGTCCTGCCTCGCTGCTGGTGGCGCTGGTATAGGTAGCAGCATGAGCACATGAAGCAACAGACCATGGTGGCAATGGCAGCCACGAAGAGCAGGATAGATGAAGCAATGCCTGCTATAGTGGAGGGACTGAGGAGCAAAACATTGATCACTCAACTACATAACAACTACACTCAGTTACACCTATCGTGTACAAAATTCACCATATAGATGTGCTTTGTAGTTCACTGACCATCTATTTCTGCACATTTTATTAGCCTCCATCTTACAAGATGTTATTTAGGTGGTGGGCCATCCTCAGCACAGAGGTGACACTGACACAGTAATGGTAATGTTAGTGTGTGCTGCACTGTCCGAAGTTTATCAGGCCCAGTGGTGTTGCTGGGGTTATTAAATATGTCAGTGTCACTGCTGAGTTGAGAATTGTCTCACAATCACTTATTGCTGCTTACTCAAGACTTCAAGGATGACTAACACAAATTGTGCAAGAAAATTAACTGTGGACCAAAGAGTTAGATGTGTCTAATAAAGTGGTGTGTACTGTGCTGTTCTGTACAGACTGGTGGTAAAACGGCCAAATTGTACAGTTCATAACATCTGTATGGCTCACTAAGAACAGAAACAGAACTTTTTAAATGACTGCAGTTACATTACTGGTGTTTGAGGGATGGAAAACATGCACTCTAGCACATGACTTTTGCCAGGAAACTGTTTACTGCCTCCCCTTAAACTAACCACAGATTTCGTAACATTCCTGCCACACACACAACATGGACAAAATGGATCTCTATAATAACTTGCCTGTGATTCAGAATAAACTGTTAGCCATCCACAGAGCAAAAATACAGCGTTTGTTTAAAATACACAAATTGTCCTTAATTCTGTGTAAAATGCAAAATAAAAACAACAGCATATTCCAGTGCACAACACTCTAAACTCAGTATAAATAGCAAAAAGTGAACAGAGTAAGACTTCCCATAGGTGAAAATCATTGCTTCATTATAATACACTTGGTTTAGATTGTTTTTAAACAGATCCTGTTTTACTGATTAACCAAGAGTATTACAAGCATTCTTTAGTATTACAAAAGAACGTGCACTAAAGAACACAAAAACGCAATACCTCAATGTTCAATACTAATTTTTCTCGAAATTACCATTGTGCAATCAATATGTAATTTCTGGTCACCACTCTGCACACATACCTTAGGAATACATTTGTTTTAGTGTTGTAAAATAATTAATATACAGGAACCATAGACTACTTATTTTGTATTGATGTATGTGTGCAACTAAAACCCAGTACTAAAACAATATATTTTAGTCTTAACAATAAAGTACTGAATTTTTTATGAAATTTCTCTGTGGATTACAAATTTTAGAAACTCAGCTCCTGATGGTTTTGTATTTGGCTGGTTTTGCCTGCAGATAATACAATTTAAACAATACCACTAGTAAAATGGTTCACAGTGTAAATTTTAACATTCTGGAAAACACAGAACTTGCCATTTTATTGATCAAAAGTCTATACATCAGTTTAACAGGAGAACCAAAAGCAAAATCAATAAAACAATAAGAGTCTTTGTCCAGGCATCTAAGCTCAAACTATTCTTGTTATTCATTTAATCCCATCTCAACAGGTTTTCTGTAATTTAAGAGCCTTCTGCCTAATGAGTATCTCTGGTGGACAATCTAGATCCCTTTAAAAATAAATTTGCAGTTTTGCAAGTCTAAGCAGGAGGCTGCTTAGCCCAGCATTATTCTGATCTGTGTGTGATGTCTTTGACAGAGAACACTAAACTCATTTATTGCTGTTGACTCAGGAGGATAGCAGAGGGCTGGGAAAGAATGTACTTTAAGAAAAAACATAATTATTACAAGTTAACCCCCATTCATTAACCTAAAAGAAGAAAAGCGGAAAGTATATTAGTTAGCCAGGTGCCCCAAGGTCTTGCAAGTATATCCATTACCTCGGAACAGTATTTTTGATAAAATCAAGCTTTGAAACTGGGAAATCTTGCTGCATGGAATAGCTCTTCTTTAGGGTACAAAATATATCTAAAAATCAAAAAATAAAAGTTTGAACTGTTTAAATTTAATAATACAGTGCCAATACACCCCTCTGTCTATTCCGAGAGACTTTCATTTGCTGTCTTTCAAGGAAACCACTGTCAATGATCAACACTATGTATATGAGTGCACCTATCAAACAAAGTGTTGGTATAATTACATTCTTACCACTTCTAATTGGTTTCTGGGTATTTCAAGAAGACTAATCCACTCGAAATCACTATGTCGTTACTTTAGAAACAAATTGTTAGTTATTTGTATAAAAATTGTGCTAATGTGAGGTGCTGGAATGTGAAGGTGTTTACATGCTGTACCTGAGATGGAAGAGCATACACCGTTTCTGTCCCCTCTCTGTGATCATCTTGAAGCCATCCAGGCAGCAGTAACGCCGGTGGCAGTTCCCACAGCAGAAGGAGATAAGCGGGCAGTCAAAGCCATTGTGCCAGGTGCCATTCTTGTCCACGTACCACAGGCAGTCCTCATTTGCACTCACTGTGTGCAACAAAGGAAAACACAGATTAACCAACAAATAAACTCTCTAAAAAGCTGTCATAAGAGAAAATAGTGAAGTGAATGATTCTGCACCACTTGTTTTTATAAATAAAAGTTTTCTGTGTTGATTTCAAGTCACCTTTCCAATTTCTGTTTGCGCATTACCTAAAAATACTGAAAGGCACTGGAGAAGGAACACAGCAAGTAGGCCTGTTTTAGTGGGTAATCACTTTTAACCTGAAGTCTAGTTCAAAATATGACTCAATGTGTAATAAAGGTGTGACAATTTCAATACAGTATCCAGTAATAGGGAAAAAATGTTTGAAATTTGTGCATGAGCATTTAAAACTGTGTCGTTTATAATATTTTATCAGGCTAACATTACATGAACAAAGCAGGACTTTACAAGACACCCCATGGACATTCTCAAAAAAAAAAACACATCTTTGCCTTCCCCTTGCAACAGTTGCTTAAATATAGGCCACTCAACCACCTGCTTCAAAGTCTCAACTCTTGGATTAGCTTTCAGTATCTAGTTGGACAAAAGTTCATAGATTTAAGAATGTTTCTAACCCTCCTATTATGTTCAACTGTAAGGAACAGCAATAATGCTCCTGGGTCAAATTGACCCAATGCATGTTTTGATGCCATTTTTTGATATAAATATCTCTCTTTGAGCTAATGGCTGTGGGACAATACTCTCATCATCTGCCAATTTATCATTATTATCAGAATTGATCTCAAGATCATTTGCACTTCCAGACACTTCCTCCTCTTCACTATCCTTAACAATGATATGTTCCAGACCCTCCTGGGGGCTGTCATTTCTCTGCTCATATTGATCTTTTCAACCTCTGTGAGAGTACAGATGCGTAGTGTTGGTATGACTATAGATCTATATAGGCTATTATCTGTAATAAGAGCAAGAAAAGGTTTCATGCTCCAAAAATTATTAAAAATATTTTTCCTGTATGGTTGAACTTTGAAATAAGTCCATTTGAACCGCGACATAACAGAAGGGTTAATCACCTAGTTGTCGTCATGTACTGTCTGTCACAGCTTAGTTACTGTTCAGGTCATCGTTTCTCTTTAATGAAAACAGCCATGAGCATCCCCGTATAAGGAAACACTAAAACTGATCTATTTCACATGAGAACCACTTGACAGCAAATAATCGATAGGCTGCTTTTATTTATTTGTACTCGTATAATAGCACATGAGACTGCCTAAAGTTGGGTCTTACATGTGCAACATTTACGGAGAGAACATGTGGCCTGAACGTAAACACGTTCAGGGACTACAAATAAAGAAGTGGCATTAACGGTTTAAATTATTTAACCCTGACAAACGATCCACCGATAGGTTGCGAACGTGATTTAATATTTTTATAAAAATGTACACATATCCATGTGTATGTATTACAGAAACACCGTGCATCACCACAGTATTCTGAGACCGTTTTAACGGGCGTGGCTGTACTGTAGACTCATATTTATCGCTTTCACGTGCGGAGTGTTGTCTTCTGCCTCTCACTGAGGCCTGTGCACAAAGTGGAGCAGTGCTGTTAGCGCCTTACCCTCACACGCCGACAGAACCGCGCAGAGCACCGCTACAGCCACGGCAGACAGCGCCATTTCCACTCCAGCGAGTTATCCTGTAACCGTAGACGGAAGAAGACCTTACATTTGTATCGAGTGAATTAACGTTTTAAACGCTGAGCTGTAGCCTTGTAGGTGGCTAGCTGCTCATGCGAGCAACATCAGCCTGCGGTTCGTGTAGAGTTACACACGCGGTGCGTGACGCTGCACGCGGGCCGGGAAAAACCACCGACTCCTCAACACCTCCTCCCTCCGTTCAAGGCCGGCGCTGATTTCTCCATGATAAATAACGAAAACGAGTTGAAACAAACGCTTCATCAAAAGGTCATCGTTTTAGCTTTTAATACACCTTTTTATATAAAAAATTCAGTTTGAAATATGTTACTAGTAAAAATCGAATTCCAACATGTACAAAATAAACTTTAATTAGAAGTAATATTTTAGCATGTAGAAATTATAAATAAAATTTCCCCCATCTTATTTTAGAGACAGGGTCCGTTTTTATTAATTGGAATTAAATTACATAAAGCACCTATTCAGTTTTCACAAGTAAATATTAATTTTCGTTATTTATATTTTATATTTATATTTAATTCGTTAAAACAGGCAGATTATGCTGACAGTAGAGCACCAACGTGCTACTACACAGCAAACACACAACGTTTTCACAACATTGTCTACTTTCTTACAACGTTGCTACAACGTTGTCAAAATGTGGTGCTATTTACGTTGTCTGAACAATGTTGTCACAACCTCATTATTCAGTAAGGTTGTCAGATGGGATTATAACTACCTTTTGGCAACTTAGCAAAACTCCATGGAGTTCCATGTTTTTCAGTGAACTCCGCGCTGCTGTGATCATGTTAGCCCCATCTGTGTTTGTCCAGGCAGACGACTCCGAGAGCAGGTATCCCCCAGAGATCCTCCGCTATATACTCCCCATATAGCAGAAATACATTGATTCAATGCTGAATTATGCTTGCATTTTGTTGTTTAATGCAGATGATGGAAAAATAACATTAAACGTTAAACAGATCTATGTGGTAAATGTCAGTTAATGAAATTCTCGCACTTAAGTAATGTGGATATAAGGATGATTTAGGATTGCATGTGTGTATGGGGGGGATATCAGACTGGAATGATTGTCTACACTGATGTCAAAAGGATATGTTCGTCGTTAAAATACTGTCAGTGTAACTGTGAAAAGTGAGTACACTTTCCTTTAAACAAACGTCTGTGCAGCGTTTTTGATGACACATGAATGACACATGAACGTCTTCTGCATTCAGGACACAACAGAAGGATTTACAGTTCTGTGTTGAGAGACAGTTTTCATGGATGACAGAATGTGTATTTTATGCTTTATTGCAAGTTCGTGATGTGAAATACCCCGAGTTCAACAGTGCAGTTCATGAGAAAAGGCAATGTTTGGAATTGTAGTTTACTGACGTTTTTAATTAAATGTGATTTTAATTATTTTTTTTAATATTTATACAAAAACACAAAAAATGAAAATGAAATGAGTTACTCCAGCAGTTATTTTTGCATTTACTCCCAAATGACAACAGCGCCTCTCGCAGGTCCTAGTGCCCTATAATCGCTGTAAAATTTGAGCTAAAATCCCCTAAACCTGGCCTAGCGACGCCCTCGAGGGCCTTTTTTTGACTTGATTTATTTCCAATAAAATAGACCTAAACAGAGAAAATGTTCAGTCTGTTTTTATTTCTGTTTCAGCTGTCCAGAGTCACAGTCTGCACTGCTCCCGTTTTAGTGTTATTCTACGTAATAAACGTTTATTTTTCAATTTGCAAAAGAAATAAAATGCCTACTAAAAATATTAATTTTTATAATAACAACGACTTTAAGTGTATTATTGTCATTAATTAGCATGAAAGCATATTTACTATTTTGTGGTAAATAACAATCGCCTAATTACACACGGATCGATTTATGTACCCCAAACTGTAATATTGCTTAAATTAGAACTTAAGGATTTTAGGAGATTGTGACAACGTACAGACAACGTAGTACAGATTACTTTTGCTGTCTTGTTAACGTTATCACAACCTCTAGAAAGTTGTCCGACAACGTCACAACGTTGTGACAACGTAGAGAGCACCAAGCAGACAACGTTGTGGGAACCAAAACTGACATTGTCACAACGTAACTGTTTGCAGGGTGGAAGAAAGCCAGCTCTACTGATGAATTCCCTCATTTCATCATAAAATAGCTTCCCACCAGCAGTGAACCGATTTTTATGACTTACAGTGACGTTACCAGCCTACTACGAACTACTGCCTTCCCTGAGTACAGACCCCGGACCACTGGTAGGTGTTTCACGGCTAACATGTTGAGAAACTCTGTGACAGACAAGTTTACAAAACGCTACACTTAACAGTGAATATAAGAAAAACACATCCGACGCTTTTTTGAAATCGATATGCTTTTCATACAGCAAATGTTTTTCTCAGCACCTCCGTGCTTTTCTTCCGCGTGATGGGTTTGAACAAGCACCCTAACGATGTTTAGTCGTATTTACTAATTCACTCCCTGGTATATACAACCAATACGATGAGCCTTAAAGCACTACAACAGGGGTGTCCAATCTTATCTACAAAGGGCCGGTGTGGCTGCAGGTTTTCATTTCAGTAATAGAGGAGCTCACATTATTAATTTAGGTTTTGTCTTCAGCTGTGCTACAGCTCGTTTTGAGGTAAAACCTGCAGCCACATCGACCCTTTGAGGATAAGATTGGACACCCCTGCACTATATGGTTTCTAATCCTGGTCCTGCATGGATGTCAGATACCCTTCATATTTTAGTTTCCTGCTTTTACATACTTCAAGAGTGTGTTAATGACCTGCTTAATTGCATCAGGTATGTTGTGAGCAAAGGAAACTGTGCAGGGCAGTGGACACTACAACATGCAGGGTACTTCAAGGTGAGAACTGAGAACCATAGATGTAGGCCATCACTGTGCAGCAGCTGCTTTAATTTAACTTTACAATTAAACTAAATGTTAAATACTCTTAACTAATAATTAAACTCCACTTTTTAGTCTCCAACTTAGTTATGTAGTTAGCAAAACTACAAAAAACAAAACTTGTAAAGTTTGCAACACACTCTGATGTCACTAATCTTTGGCAGTAGTGCCCATTTGTGCCCAAATGCAGAGAATCAAAATGTAGTTTCAACAGGCATTTAAGACAAAAAGATGGAATTTGAAAATGACACTTTCACGGGCCTTTTATTTTGAAATCTCATCCAAAACTCCAGTGGATATAAGGACACAAATAGGCTTTAGATCACCATGGCAACAATATGAATCCCTCATACCCACCACACTGCGCAGCCATAAAGACACAGCTTACAAAAGCTTATAATAACAAATCTATTTGTTCAGATAAGGCCGCCAATATTTCCAACTTTTCAAAGTTAAAGTTCATCTGCCAAAATATGCCTTCCTTTACAGAAAGATTTTAGAACACCATGAATTGGTAAAGTGAGAGGATTACAAATGGACAACAGTTGATACTTCTTAACCATTTCTATACTGATATCGGTCCCTTTGCAAGAACTCACAGACCCTTTTTTAACCCTTTTCATTACACCGAAAGCTTCACTTTAGTCCACTGGGCAACATTTGTGCCCTACTAACTGTATCATTTGCTCCACCCTTCCAATCCCCTCTGGGGTCCATTCAGGGTGATTCTCACCTTTTCCTTTTTCTATAGCGTTTTTTGTTTCAGTGTTTCCTTCAACAGACCATCAGACAGGGCAGGGCATGTCAGCAAGTGCATCATCTTTGAAAAACGCTCCTCAGTTGTGCCTGGGTTTTGCAAGTGCCAGTTAAAACGGCTTTCCAAGTCCACTCCAGTCCAAGTTTGGAAACGTATGACCAAGTGGTAAACACTGAAAAAGGAGAGTTTTTTTCACTGATAATGGGGAAAATTACAGCTTAGATACCAATGGACTGCAAGACTCTTCTCTCAGAATCATTTAGATGGCCAGAAAACATGCTGTAGCAAGGCTGCTGGGCAAACTGAGTCAGGAAATCTGTCAGATAGGCCTGGAAACAAAAAGGAATTTAAAGAACAGACTCTACAAGCAAAAGTTCACTGTAAACAAAACTCCTTAAAACCCCTTAATGCAGAAGAAATGAACAATGAGCAAGTTACCTGAAGGTCAATTTGATATATAGGATCCTTCAAGGCATCTGGATCATCTTCATCATCATCCTCATAATAATCATCATCTGAGAAAAAAAATCTTGTTAATCAAGGTATTTCACAAAGAACCAAAAGCAATGAATGTCTAAAAGGAAAAGCTCTAATGTGATGAATTTGATATACTGGTATAAATTCTGACTTGCTGTTGTGGTGGAAAAAAATAAATGAATAAAAATCATCATCATCATCATCATCATCATCATTGTCATCATCGTCATCATCGTCAGTGCACCGAGGTAATGGGTGGAGTCAACAGCTTAAACTGATGATGCTACTAAGATGCTTGGAATAGTGACGTGTAAACAGGCTTGGAATAGTGACGTGGTCCTACATCAACATACAGTCTAAGGTCAGACAGACTACTAACTGCCTTTTCGCTTTTCCCCTAATTGTGCGAATTATACCGGTTCCAGGAAAAACTGCAGGATGATGCAGATACAACAGTCGTTTAGTTTGTTATATAAAAAGTATCCATTTATTACTGAACAAAACTGTCCTAAAGATCAAGGGCTTTAAGTCATTTCTATAAAAAGTGTCCATTTCTCACCATATTTGTTAGAAGATATGAGGTCTGAAAGAAGCTGCCCTTCTAATCCTTCGTCATCCTCTTCCTCCTCCTCATCCTCCTCTTGATCCTCCCACATTCCTCCTGAATCTGAAATGGACACCAGTTTCTCTAAGCAACCTTTCACTTAACTCTACCTTTAATTGGCACACAGCTCCCCCAGCTGTGTGCCAGTTTCAAATAGTGCAGTTCACTGAAATTTATTAATTGTCAAATTACTCTCATTGACTAAAATGTGCCAAAGCTGTGCCCCATAATCTCAGTGTGAACTTCACTTAGTATAAACAAAGGTTTATGAGGAAAGGCCTTAAATCAAGGTAGATTTTGGCCCATGCAAAGTAAGATTGCTCACACTCTTAAGTGTAAATGGCACTCATCTCTCATCTCCATGCACATAAGCTGTTGAGCTGTTTAAGCAAAATGTGAAGGAATCAACCACCTTTCAGTGTTTGAACACTTATTTTTAAATGAATGAAAGCAAATAGGACATTCACAAGCTCAATCACTGCTATAGTGTGAGAGGAAGACATGAGAGAGAGACATTGATCCAAGTATTGATCATTTCCAGCAGACTTACTTTAACTCTCAATTCTTACACGAAAATGACACATTATTGTGTACATCAACATGCAAGTTTACAACCCTGGTGACTGCAGTACCTTGACTCCAATCTGCAGGATTTGCTCTATTTGCATTAGCCTCCACTACAGAGGACAGTTCATTGACAATAAGTTTAAAGATCTTCACCAGCAAGGGAATGTTGGTCCATCGTTCTGGGTCTGAAACACATTAAATAGATTTATCATCAGACTTCACAATACTGACCACTAGAGGGCATGCTGGGTTAATAGCTGTTGAAATGTGCAGTCTTACTTTTGGCAGATTTGGAGCGTGTGCGAATTCCTTCATCTTGGTTAAAGATTTCCTCTCCTTTGACTACTATGTCCTGCAGACGCTTGTCATTGGTATTAAGACCATGCTGAAGGAGTTTACACAAAGCTATAGCACTGCAGGCAGAGGGAAATGATCAGAGAACAATGATTCAGTCTCTTATGATTTAACCTTGTGAACGACAGAAACCAGAGAAGGTCACAAGCTCCCACCTGACTTTGCCCTCATACTGCCCATAGAAGAGATGCTGGCGGCTCATCCATTCAGTCATGACAAATTCCAGAGCCGGCTTTCCCGTGGGCCCAGGAAGACTGGACAAGAACTCCAACAGAGGTTCTAGCTGTGAGTGGACCAGGTGGGCAAACACCATGATTAGAGACTGTAGGGTAAGAGAATAAGAGAGGAAAGACTGTCAAAAACACACTCGCACTCAAAACACACTCACTGGCTGCAGCCGTATTATACAGAGTGGCTAAAACACATCTGAAATCCAGTGCAATTCTACATTCTCTTAAAAATGTGAAATAGAACATCATACTGATGCCAGAAAATTACGTGTGTTGATACTACAATTTGAATACAAATTACAAAGAAATACAAGCCCAAATCATTGGTGTGTTGTAACGTTTCTATTACAGATGTACTGTTTTTTTGCCACTTAATCGCGTGCTTTAATACTGAGTATTAGCCAACACAAGGTCCTGATTTTCTATTTGCATTTTTGTAGATACCTTGGTCTACAGTGCGTACAAGTACATGAAAGTTATAAATCTAATTTAGGAAAGGTAGGCTGCCAATTACTTTAAAATGGAACACTAAAATCATGTGGGCAATGTGTAGAGTGTGACACTTTAAAATGATATACTGCAGCCAAAAATATACTTGAAGCGAAATACCAAAGCACCCACATTTTACATATGTCTAGTCCTACCAATGTAAGTCAGTTACATAAACTGGTATTGCATATATTATTCAAAGTCCATGTTCACATATTCCCAATATGCCTCACTGCCACAAGTCATGGATATCATCTTTTCCCTGACACCTCTAAACAGTGGCACAAAATGTAAAGTAAATAAGATTCACTTTAGATCGGGCATAATATAGCAGATAACCAATCAATTAAAACATGCCTGAATCAGACATCCCTCTTTCCTTTCTTGTGGAAGAGGATGAAAGCCTACCTGCATAACACTCAGAGTCTCGGCTTGCTGCATCTTGCTGAGAATGGCACGCAATACTTGGTCCAGCTGCTCCCCCAGCTGTGTGCCTGCACGGGCTATCAGGGTGGAAACCAGGCGGCCCACAAAGGCTGCAGTGAACTCAGACGTGCGGGGGTCCAGAAGCTGACTGACCACCTGCATGACATACCACAGGCCACTGTGGCCTTGCTCGTCCTGCCACTGGCCCACCTGTTCCAGAGCCACTGAGACATACGCCCGCAAACACTCGCCACCGTTCTACAAATTTAACACCAAAAAGTCTGGATGCAGAATTCTGTCACATCATTGAAACACTTTCAGTCTTACCTACTATCATTGTCATTGCTACCTAGAACAACAACTACCACTGCCCATGTTGGGAGTTGGTACTTCTGGGACTATGTTTATTAACAGCTACTCACCTGCATTGTTGTGTTGTCATCGGTGCGAAGGGTGCACTGGGCCACGGCAGGGAAAGCCTGGCACACAAGTATCTCAGACAGAGGAGGTTTAGTGTTCCGAACAACTGTTGTCAGGATATCAATAGCTGTCTGTTCAGAAAGTACAATAGTTAGTGATTCATGAAAGAGTGTTATGAGAAAATTCAGTAGAAGATGAAACCTAAGCCAAGGAAGAAATCCTTACAGCACAAAGGCCTGAAGGAATCTTATCAGGCGGCGCCTGCATGATGCTCACAAGTGTAGGGATGAGGCGCATCTGCATAGGGCCCTGGCAGGCCTCAATCTGAGCCAGCTCCTTAAAAATGTCCTGGGCTAAGGAGGCCACCACAGGATCTAATGAAATGAAGAAAGAACAATGTATAAGAAATCCTGAAAAATTGAACTTCATGGAACACAAATTACATAAATGAACAACAAAAAAAGGGTAGGCTATACCATTGCTGTACTTAAGGAAGATGGCAATGGTGAGAGGGCAGATCCTGTTCTCTGCACTAGTGGTAAAAGCTGGATCCACTGTACACACAATGCAAAGGGTCTCCATGACTAAGGTGAGGACTTCTGAACTGAACTGCGCTGCCAACTGTACCAGCCCCTCCAAGATACTGGGCAGGTAGGGCTGCAGGACGTGGGTACTCTCCGACAACTTCAACTGATCACAGTACCTGGTACACATATACATGAGAAACTCAGTAACTCTGTTTCAATCTGTTATAAGCATACATTAATTTAACACTTGCAGCTCTCAAAAGACGTTAGTTGGAGCTTGTGATCAAATGCGCGACCTTTGGTCAGAAACAAAAAGGCATCTTAAATTTCAGTGGGTCCTTTAAGGCCACTTCCACACCAATAAGGATATTTCTGAAATTTTTCAATGAATTTTGGGCACCCATCCACAGGAAAATAGTGTCACTAACATTACAACATTAACTTGCTCATGGTCGTCTTGTACTAAACATGCGTCAGGACTATCCAACATGGTTGATAACTGGGTTGTTTTTATGTGGTTAGTAATGGTGCATTTGATTATTTGGCTGTGTTTAGTATTTACTTTGTCTTTGCTTTTCCATTACATTCCTAGTCCACACATATGAATCCTGCATGTTTTTTTTGTTTATGTCCAAAAGTATCTATTCCTTCTAATGAGTAAATTCAGCAGCATAAGAGCCAAACCCAATGTGTCAGCTAGACAGGTATAAAGCTCCCCAGCATTAGGCTATGGGGTGTGGAGCAGTGGGACTGCGTTCTCTGGAGCTCTAGAACACCATCGAAAACTTTTAGGATGAGTTAGAGTGGCCTTTGTGATCCAAAACTACTCATCCAACATCACTTCCGCTCTAACTAATGCTCTTGTGGCTGAATGCAATCAAATCCCCACAGCAATGTTTCAACCACTACTGTAAAGCCTTCCAGGACTCTTAAGTTGCAAAAAAGGGGAGCCGACTCAAATAAGAAGTGTAGCTAAGAATTTAATCCCAGTCAGAGGTACCCATCCACAGTGTAGTTTTAGATAGTCATTGCATTGTTGCGTTTGCAACCAACTGGGCCAGGTGTATGTACAAAAACAGGGTGCAGTGCAGAATGTGCCTTGATGCAACTGCTTGTAAACAAGCTCAAGACAAAAGATAAACTGAAAGTTCATATGATGACATGGGTGTTAAGAAATAAAGTTCTTACACAAAAAACATTCTACAGGGGTGTAAATCCTACTCCAGCTACAAAAACACAGTTTACTAAACATAGACAGTGAGTGCATATTGCAGCCACATCATTGCATATTTTGCACTCAGTCTTCTAGACACACATATGTGGGCTGTTTCACAAATTTTGCCAAATGCAAGTAGACATCTGCAAGGTGCCATGATTTTCTTTTATTGTTTATTTGGAGGATTTCACAAAGGAAGAAAAATCCCAGTGTATGAATGCATATCGCACAACAACAAAAAAACGAAAGATTTAAAGCTCAAACATGAAATGTAGATGCTTTAAAAACATACAATTCGTATCAATTTACTAATGATTACTTGATCATTAGTAAATTGATACGAACTGTACATTTTTTGAAGCATCACTACGAATAATTTATAGTGAAAAATTATTCGTAGTGATGTTTTTGTACCCAGTTAAAATATCAGCTCAGCCCAGGTATTAGCATTTAATAAGCAGTTTAAAAGGTGTTTAGGAAGCAATTTATTACCTGACATGGGGGGAAAATCAAAGATAATAAAAGTTATGTGGAATACAGTTGTGAAATTTTCTAAAAAGTATGCGTTTGTAATGGAATCCCTGGACATGACCTGCCAGGCCATCTGTGAGTTGGCATGGCCTAACCTACTAGTGTTTTTGCTATATATACTTTGCAGTGGAAGCCTGTTGCTGCAAAATTATCGCCACCACTGCTTCAATATTTTATCAAATGTCAAAGTTGCAATGATAAAACAGTTTTTTTTTTTTTTTATTTTGAAACGACGCATACAAGAAGTGGAGACATGTGGCCAGAGATTCTTTAATATAAGAGGACATGGCAATCCTTTGCCGTTTGGCAATCAGACCTTGTAAGCTGTAAGCAAATCATATCGGACCTTGACGTCAGCGAAGCTCTTCCAAGTGTTACGGCAGTTTTCTACAGCAACAGCAGCATCGAGTCACCAACATTTACAAACTTTACAAAGTTAGTTTGGAATAAATCATTACTGATTACTGCCGTTATAGTTCACTGAAATACTAATGGTTACAAACTACAGCCGTTTAGTTCTGCATATAGTTGCACCGCGGGGATTGTACCGATGCCATAGTTGACTAACAGCAGTTAGAGCCACTGTTAGAAACACATTTCTGGATTACTGCCTTTGACAAGTCTGCTACAAGCTGCTGTGTAACATGAACATGGCTTTTATTGTCTGAAGATTGTGAAACCAAAGTAAATGAATGGGAAAAGAGCATAGTTTGTATGTTTGCTTGATTACTAGTTAGTTATATGTTCTTCTTTATACTGCTTTAGCTCATTTTCAAAAATCAATGCAAAACCAGTCACCATGACTTGCTCAAAGCCACGATCGAGCAAACTGGAGTGGAATATGTCAGCTGCACTTTCAACATCTGAACCTACTTTTCGCACATTTTGCATGTCTGTCCTTATAATGCATATGAATGAGCAAGAGAAGCGCATTCTGTGCTCCATGTCCCAAAAACTGCGGTTAGGCTCATGTGCCAGTTTTGTACCTAACACAACGGCAGAATGCATCTGAACGGCGTCTGAAACAGGCGCAAAAGGCTTAGTACAACATCATACTCCATATATTAATCTTCTTCAGACATTTGACATCAAATTTTATGATGCACTAACGCCACCTACTTAGCTGGCAAGCTCTTGTGAGTTTGCATATTCAATTTGTGTTCTTGTATAGATGCAAGGGGTTTTTGAAAATATTCTTGGTGTCCACAGAGATCTTTTCAAAACATGTGAATGGGATGTGTTTTCAGAAATACCAGGATGTGTGTGGATGAGGTCTAAGCAGCTTCAATATAGTACAAAGAAAAAGAGATGGGAGAACAGAGTGGAGGGGGGGAGAACAAAAAACAAAAACAAAAACAATCTTAAACTTACCCCCAGATAGCACGCACAGCAGAGATACGGACAGATGGTGGCTGGCTGTCATGTAGACCACTCACTGTTGCTTGCAGAAACTGCTGGATGAGCTCTGGGGACATGGCTGCAGTGAAGCGACTAGCTGCCCACAAAGCCCGGCCCAGCAGGAACGGAGAGGCAGCTGAAGGAAGGCACGGCGACGTTTGACAAAATGGTGTATTCTTTTGCCTACATTTCATGTATAAAAACACAACTTGGCACTCTATTACACAGTAAGGTAAAGACTGATTTTTACTTACTTGCTAGATTGAGATCGGTGAGGATGACATTGGCAAGGAAGCCATGCATGTCGAACTGCACGCGACCGTTCTTAACATTCTCTGTGATGATGGTCTTGACTGAGCCCAGAGCCAGCATGCAGGCTTCATGGATTTTCCACCTGCACAACACAACAGAAACAAAAGAAAATTCAGTGTGATAACCAACGATATTACTTTTTTTCACCTGACTGATTCTCATTACGAAACCTGTATACATACATAAGAAACAACAAAACAAAACACAAAAAAACAAAAAAAAAAAAAAAAAACACCAAACCAGTGCGATTAAAAAGCAGCAGGGCCTAATGTGTTTTTCTGTAGTGGACTCAAATTTGTATTGCAGTAGTCAAATTATCCAGTCCTATTCAAAACAGCATTATGCAAAAAAATTGTAAAAAGTGTAATTCACCTTTACACCACTGTCATAAATACAAAATCGTGCTGAGCCCGCCCACCAAAAGTACACAACCATTTGTGGACAAGCTGAAGGATACAGAACACAACTCCCTTTACGCATGCACATGCGCCACGCAGGCATATGGATACTTCATACTACACTTTCAACTTCTATATTTCTGTGTGTAAACAACCAAAATAGCATAATCTGCGTCCATTTGCCTTCCTACTGTGCATGCTCATGGAGTCGGATTCTGACTCAGATTCAGATGTAATCCGGCATATGCACATGCTGAGAACTTCAGAAGTGAAAGAACCATGTCACCTTACAAGGTAGAGTAATACTACAGGATTTTATTACAGGAGTTTACAAACTTTCAAGGCTTATTTGGCATGAGACTAACAAAGACTGACAAAAAGTTCCATCATGAGATTTTTCTTTGCATGGAAGCCTGAAACGGGACTGACGTTATGAGACTGATAAGGTTACAGCCTACGCCGCAATCTTTCACAAAAAACGCTGACAGGGAGGTAGACTCTGCTGTTGGATTTCTGTTTTCCCATTAGCCATTAGACTGTCTTGCATCCTTTTATTTCTTATCTCTCTTAAGCCAGTCAGAGATTTACTCTTCAGTCATTTGGCAGCCTCTGCCATGATGTCCATACTGAGTCAGCTTCTTATAGCTAGCTGAAGATGCATACTTGTTGATGTGTGCCGTGGTAAAGTGTAACGCAGTTCTCATGAGAGGTTTTGTACCTGCTCTTCCAAAGGTACACAGCACTACAGCAAATGTTTCGGGCCCAGACTGGAAATAACTTTTCTCTCTAGTTGCCATTCTCCCTATTATAAGTCACTGTACCATCAAAATGATTTTGAAGCTGTTATTTCAAGGTAAAGTTGTTATATAATGTTGCTTTAAAGATACTCTACATGTTGCAAGTTTTATATTTTCAAAAACATAAAGAAGTCATTAGTTAATTATGATTTTCAGCTCAATCAAAATTTCTAAGATCTGGAAGATCAGCCAAAAGTCTTTAATTCAGGATTAGGTGTGATGGTGTGCATAAATAAATAAAAATAAAAATAGCAAGCACACATTCATCATACGGTATTATGCAAAAAGATCAACTTGCCGACTGGTCCATTTTGGATGCTGTGCTGAAAGCCATGTAAGTCTCTTTAAATGTACTATTTGCCTTCTTTCCATCACCCAGATAAGCACAGCAGCAAAACAGACATACACTGTTTAAACCATCTAAACTGCTTAAAAAATCTAAACCTTTTTAAACAAGCATCTAAGCAACATAGACGGAGTTAAATTAGAACATTTTTCACACATACCAGCAAAAGAAAAAGAAAAATCTCTCCATTTACAGAGTGTAACAAATTCCCAGTATGTAAAGGTCCATACATATATTCTCAGTACTTGGAAATGATGGCTGTTGGAAACTGAATTTAGACTTATAATTACCATTATTATTACTACTACACTTCCTTATTAACTATTTTTAAATGTACCAAGCACTAAATTGCACAAATTAACCAGTTCACTTCAACAGATCTTGTTTTCAACCCACCAGTGCTCACTGCCAGCATTCTTGGCCTGCTCTGCCTCCTGGAGGTGCCTTGTTGCAGCTGCTGCTAAAGCTGCAGCACTCTCATTCTGGAACTCTGCTGCCACCACCTGATAAACACCAGTTGATGTTAATAAACATGAAGTACAAGCTTAATTGAAAGGTTTAATCAAAATTTTAATCCTAACCCATTATATAGTTATTATACATAAATACAACATGCCCCCTGAATTATGCACATAATGTCCTGCTGATTGGTAACTGCTTGCTTTCAAGTCTTTTAGATAGTATTTTTGGTCAGATTAATCCACAACTCTGACACCTTCACCTAAGATCTTAAAAGGTGATAAAGTTTTTACCAGCAATAAATCTTGAGCAGATATTCGGACAGAATAAGAGAAGGTGTCATCATCTTCATCCTCAACAAACTGCTGAGGATTAGCAGTCCAAACTTTGATCTATATGGCAAGACAACACTCTAGGATTAGACAATAAAACAACCACTGAAGGACACGGAAAAGCACAGATGCAAGAACAGGTACAAATAAAGAGGAGTAACCATACCTGATCCTCTGTAATCTGCATGTAGAGAATGATGTAATAAATGAGCTCTGGTAGTGCTTTCCTGACTGTGCTCTTAAACTTGTTGTTATCCAGAAGTGTGTGGACAAATTCAAAGATGCTGAAGACTAGGTTTTCAAAGCCAAGAACCTCCCCTGAACACACAACCCAAGAAAACAGAAGTTAGTGAACACAGCTTTGTGCTCAAAGATCACTGACCTGACCAATATGAACATTCTGCAGCTGATATTGATACCAATTTTAAAAGGACAAAAATTACAATATACAATTAGGGGTGGGCGATATGGGGAAAAAAAAAAATTATGACAATTGACATTTTCATGATAATAAATATCACAATATTTGACAAAGTGCTCTAGTAGTGCCACATTTAAAAACTCAGTGTATAGTGAGTACAGCAATTGTTTTCATTCAATGTTTTACATACTGTGCTGCACTGAATCAAATTAAAGAGGACTAATTATGCTGTCTTTGTAATTAAACATGCAGTTGTCATATTCTACAAGTACTAACTATATCCCTGACATGCTCAGAAAAGCATACTGTTTATCACAATAACGAAATTTATCACGATTAGTGCTAAAGTATCATCACATTGTCCACCTCCAGAAACAATAAAAGTGGCTGACACATAATAAATTTCTATTTACACTTACATACATGAGTGGTACATTGATACCATTTGTGTTCAGAGTATATGTTAAGTACTTGCAGATACCAGTACCATACTAAGTAACCTACTTAGAATTTAGTAGTTGTAAGTGCAAATGAGCGCAGTGTATTTTAATTTAAACTGTTAAAAACTGATTAAATGGCCTGCATTAACTAGCTATGCTACATTTACTACCTTGAATTAAGTAACATTGCAGTGGAGAAGAGTGGGTTTTGTTGCATGTCAGGAAAGCATAAGTGTACAGCTGTAAGTAAAGTACATTTTTTATTTTGATCCTATGTGCCTCATCTGTCTCTCTCAACAACAGTCTCTGTAGCACAGCAACAGACGGAACCATATCCAAGGCGAATGCAGTGCTCACTTGTGGAGTTTGACATCTTGTTGGAATCTTTTGTTTGGCTGGTTAGTTAAAGTTGTGATGTCATCTAAAGCCAGGCATACGCTGTGCGATTTCATGAATCTTGCTCTTTATCTATGGACAATTACCAATAAAGCTGTCTCATTCAAAATAATAAGCCACACATCAGAGTACTAAGCAAAAACGCTGACAAACAGCTTTGCTAACTAGCACCACACTGTGCACTGAAACTATAAGCAGGCGCTTATATGGGAAGGAAAATAAATAAATAAATAAATACATTAACCCTTATATCTCGTAATTCTATTCAGTCAAACAAAGTAAAGTTGGCATAGACGGACTAGCAAATGTAGATTTTTGAGCCTCCGTTTTGCTAGCCTGCGTCTCTCCAGTACAGGTGGCTGTGACTGTGTGTGTGTAAAAAAAACAGGACAAAATCACACAGCGCATGCCTGGCAGGAATATGCCAAGGCGTAATGTTTAAAGTGACCAACAACTTTGTGTCCGACCACCAAGGCATCAGAAAAACACTCTCATTTGATGGAATGAAAACAGACCAGCTTTCTCCCCTTTGCTCACTTAATTTCTCCTGCTCCTTTACTCTTCGTGACCCCTCCAAAATTGTAAGTTTCTGGGCGCAATCACAATCTTTCAGTACATAAATATTTAAAACAGAATTTTTCATTAGTTGCCTTTACAATTTTTTTTTCTGGGTTAGGATATGTTAACCTCACGCTTAAAGCAGCACTTTGAAAGAACTGTTATTTTTGCTCTTGGCTCCATCAAGTGGCACAAGCATTTAAAAAGCAGGCTTATTTTTCAGATATTAAAAATTAAAAAAAACATACCATCAGAGTCAACTGGATCATCCACTTCTTCTGTGTAGTTGACTTCTGTTCTCACATAAGTAGGCAGAGCTAAGAAAAGTATGCAATGGGATAAAATGCTACACACATTTTCTTAACTTGGATTTACATGAGTACATAATCATATAGTATCAGCAGCCATATACAACTATTTTTGTATCAAAACAAGAAGAGCTAAATAAATAAGAGGACAAACATGAAAGGATATAAAGAAGCACTTTCTGTCAGTGTATTCCACACAATGGGAAGAATTTGTTGCATGGAGGACACCATAGATTTGGGGAAGTTCTTCACTAGCGCAGTTACGGCCTGTTATGAGAAAGGAAGCTTAACAATTAAATACATTGGCAACAGCATTCCACAATGATTTATCCCCAACTAGGGCTGCCATGATTAACTGATCAAACGCAATTAAAAAAATATATACACATCAATAAATAAAAGATTAGTAGGCTGCATGATGACAACGCAATTCCCCTACAGGTCTCACAGCCTGATGGTCTCTCTCACACACACACACACACACACACACACACACACACACACACACACACACACTATAATGCCAAAAGTATTTGCTCGTCTGCCTTCACACACATATGAACGTGAGTGACATCCCATTCTTAATCGACAGGGTTTAATATGATGTATGATGAAGTACCGTTCTGCTGGCAACCACCAAACCCAGACTCATCCATCGGACTGCCAGACGGAGAAGCGTGATTCGTCACTCCAGAGGACACATCTACACTGCTCTAGAGTCCAGCAGCGGCGTGCTTTACACCACTGCATTTGACGCTTTGCATTGCGCTTGGTGATATAAGCCTTGGATGCAGCTGCTCGGCCATGGAAACCCATTCCATGAAGCTCTCTACGCACTGTTCTTGAGATAATCTGAAGGCCACATGAAGTTTGGAGGTCTGTAGCGATCAACACTGCAGACAGTTGGCGACCTCTGCTCACTATGCGCCTCAGCATCCGCTGACCCCGCTCTGTCACTTTACGTGGCCTACCACTTCGAGACTGAGTTGCTGTCGTTCCCAATCGCTTCCACTTTGTTATAATACCACTGACAGTTGACTGTGGAATATTTAGTGGTGAGGAAATTTCACGACTGGACTGCACAGAGCTCCTGAGAGCGACCCATTCTTTCACAAATGTTTGTAGAAGCAGTCTGCATGCCTAGGTGCCTGGTTTTATACACCTGTGGCCATGGAAGTGATTGGAACACCTGAATTCAATGATTAGGATGGGTGAGTGAATACTTTTGGCAATACAGCGTACATAAAAACAAATATATACATAAACAGGGATGTAAAAAGTTTGATTAACTTATTGTCAAAATCAGTATATCAATTGCTTACTATTTTCATCAGAAGTGATAGCTCTAACCCACATGACAAAACAATTCCTTACTTTGAGGACCTCCATCTTGAGGCCACTGTCTGAAGTGGGTCCATCAGGCATCTGCAGGGCCTGCACAAACGCCTCAGTGAACTGCTGTACCACAGGAAAAATCAAAGCTTTGGCAGCACCCTGGGAAAAAAAAGAAAAAGAATGTTTTATGTCTAAATCAATCACTGCAGCTACTTTTTTTGCTAACCCCTCTTCTTCTAATCCTCACCTTTTCAAATACCTCAATAGCACAGATAAGGTTGGCACAAGTGGTAAAGATCTCGACTGCTCTGGATCGTGTGCGAATACTGTATACCTGCATTAACACAAGACAACAGGGCATTAGTGCACTTCTCGAGAACATTAGCAAGCCATTAATCAAACTCTAGAGAGTCAACACCAACCCAGTGAGAGGGTACACAGTGGTCTCTGAAACAGGCTAAATAAAAACTTTATATAATACCTCTGCCATGGTGAAGATTTTGTACATCTCTGGCAAAATGACAGGCGCAACCAGGGGCATCTGTGTGTCTGTCACTTCTCGGGTGAACTCTACAGAGCAGATGTTTGGTTTAAACAAACATATTTATACAATTTGTGCTTTTAGTGTGTGATACACATGTACTTAGTCTAAACAGATCTACATTGTAAGTGTTACTGTCCAAATTCTTGTAGACTTGACTGTATGACAGCTGGTTATTGTCAATCTTACATCAATTAAAAACTTTAATTAATCAAAGGTTGTTGCTGTCTTGTTCTTTTATTGCCATGTGCCAATAATTAACATGACATTACAGTCCTGACATCCTTCTCATGGCATTTATCACATCTGAAAAGAATGTACTGACAAATCTGTAGCCAGAATGTAAAGAGAACATTCAGGTGTTTCAAGTATATAATGTCTCATTGAATGCTTTTAGTCTTTCAATAAAATGTCAGACAAAACAATAAATAAAAATAAATAAATAAATAAATAAATAAATAAAATTTAAAACACCAAACACATTTCAAAATGACTACTTTGTTTAAGCAAAGGTATCCCTGTGGAAGCATTTGAGTCAGTCTTCTTTGCAGCACTGCTTTAATTCAGATATATACTGTTATTGGATTCAAGACAGGATTTTGACAAGGCCACTGCAAAACAATAATTTTGTTTCTTTTCTACCACTACCATGTTTGAATGTTAGTATGATCTTCCTATTGCTTTTTTCACAGCACTGTACAATGGTTAGACTTGGGTTTGAACTCTCATCTGTGCAACTGGATACTGGACTTCTTGACGAGCAGACCTCAGGTGGTGAAAGTTGGGAACAGCTTCTCTTCCACACTGACTCTGAGCACAGGGGCTCCCCAGGGATGTGTGCTCAGCCCCCTCCTGTACTCCCTGTATACACATGACTGTGTAGCCAAACACATATCTAACATCATCTTCAAGTTTGCTGATGACACCACCATCCTAGACCTCATCACTAATGGAGATGAAACAGCCTACAGAGACGAGGTCAGCGCTCTGTCAGAGTGGTGTCATGACAGCAATCTCTGTCTCAACATCAGCAAAACAAAGGAGATGATCGTGGACTACAGGAAGCGGCAGAGGGGTGGTCACTCTCCCCTGTTCATCAATGGAGCCGAAGTGGAGAGAGTCAGCAGTGTGAAGTTCCTCGGCGTACACCTCACTGATGACCTCACCTGGTCCCTCCACACCAACACTATCGTAAGATCTGCCCGTCAGCGTCTCTTTTTTCTGCGCAGGCTCAGGAAGTTTGGTCTGCCTCCTCAGATCCTCACCAACTTCTACAGATGCACCATAGAGAGCATCCTCACAGGCTGCATCACTGTTTGGTACAGCAGCTGCACTGCCTGTGACCGCAAGGCCCTTAAAGGAGTGGTGAGGACAGCAGAAGCCATCATAGGCAACAGACTACCAGCCTTAGAGGATGTCTACCAGTCCCACTGCCTCAGGAAGACCAAAAAGATCCAGTCAGACAGCAGCCACCCAGCACACAGCCTGTTCACCATCCTGCCATCAGGCAGGAGATTTCGTAGCATACAGGCTAGGACAACCCGGTTAATGAACAGTTTCTACCCACAGGCTGTCAGGCTTCTGAACAAGCTGTGAAGCTGTGGGTCCTTCACTAAATACCATTTCACTCAGTCTTTTTGTCAGTATTACTATTACATCATGTCATCTCTGCTATGGACAATAACACCTTAACACTAAGCCACTTTAAAGAACAATAACACTGTCACTTAGTCACTTTAAAATGTATATTGTCTGTATATGTGTACATTTCTCTATTTGTGTATATTTTTATCTGTATTTTCTCTATATTTTGTGTATATTTAATATATTTCAGTTAGTTTTTTACTTATTTACTTTCTGTAGAGTGTTTGTCTGAGCCTCACCACAAGCATTTCAATGCATAAATGTCCTGGCATGTTGTGCATATGATAAACTTGACAAATTGTGTAGATAGCCACATCTGCACAAACTCAGAGGGGTCAGTACCTGTGAGGACTCTCATGGCACCATGTACAGCACTGACATCTCCACTGACTAACATGTCCATAAGAAGTGTGAAGAGCTGAGGCCAGGCCTCAGGCCAGTCCCAGTGGGCAATGGCTGACACTGCATAGGCCACACTGGAACGCACCTTACTGATGGCTTCCCGCAAGCCACCTGGCAGAAGCTCACGGATTGCTGCTTTGGCCTAGATCACAAGAAATGTGAAGAGCAACACACGTTGTCAAAATAAATGCAGGCTATGAAAAGCACAAGAACAACAATTTACAATTAGGGCTGGCATTATCAATTATTTCAGTAACTGAGCAACATACAAATTATTTTGATGATTAATCGAGCTGTTTCTTCTTCTTCTTCAAAAAAAAGCCAATTAAAACTGGAACTGCAAAGAGTGAAATAATTCAAGACTGACTGAATTTAAAAAAATGGACAAATAATAATAATAATAATAGTAAAAAAAAAAAACAATGTGCCAATTCATAATAGGTGTATCTACTGGACTCTCTCACTTTCAGAGAGCCCAGAGTGAGAATTAAAAACTATCATTACACAAACTGCCAACTAATGCACATTACTGGTGATTCACTGAGAAGGTAAAGTATAATCAAAGACTGTATTTACCAGAATAATTGTGACAGCCCTACTTGCAACGCATTACTCTACTGAACTTCAACCAAAGAAGTAAACACCACCTCACCCTTTCAGTAGTTTCTGGTGGCCTGAACTTCTCTGACTGGGCACACCAGTGGGTCTCAACATACTGCTTCAGAATGACAGAGGCAAGCTGCAGTGGATAAAAGTAGACATAAAATGGATGAAGAAAATACTATACATTACAACTCTTCTGAGATAAATTCCTGAAATATTAATGTCCCTTCACCTGGCGAATAGCAAGTGCTCCCTGGTGGTCAACAGTGAGCTCAGCAAGGTGAACTCCAAACTCTGTGGTGGAAATGTAAAGGAAATGTAACTGTTTCCACTTTAATCAACGAAAGCACTGTCACATCTGACTTATCGAAGCCTCTGTTTTAACAGTAATACAATCAAAGAGAATCAGTCAAATGCTAGACTTTTAACAGAGGACAGCTTCATGAAAATTTCAGCCTCATGTTGGTTTTTTTTGGAATAAATGCATATTTCACTACAACTCTCACTTACTCCTGGCTTCTGTAAAAGTATACCTACAATATGTTCAGAGTTCATGAGAGGTGCCATGTCTCTCTGTGCCAGGATTTAGCTCAAAGAGACACTAGAGGCCGGGAAACAATGTTACTGCTGACACCCAGCACACAACAGCTTCCTCAGTGTGATGCAGAGGCCAGTTAGGACTCACTACAGCAAATTCCATCATCTGCAAAATCAGCCTCATTATATGGGGAAGTAGATATAAGTGTATGCACCCATCATAGATTAAGCAAGCAACATAATCAGCATTAATGCAATAGAGCTACATTCTTTAGCAATAAAACACAAAAAGATAAACATTATTGGTGCGAAAACATTTTCAGGTTCAATAAGGTTTTATGATTGTGAGGAGAAAATTTTCTTCCATTTTTGATCCAATTCTAAATACTTTTTTTCTATTAAAAGTGTCTTTATTCTACAGAGCTTACTGTATTACAGAATGGTATGCACCAAAATATAAAATAAGCCCAAAGATTAAGTCACTTTAGAAAAACATCAGCCATTTGAGCATGGGTGCATCAAAGACAGCAAATGACACTTATTAAATAGTATTAGATTCGATAGCACTGATATGGGAAAAAGCAAGCTGATGTCAATATCTGACATACATATCAGCCGATCCTGACATACAAATTAATAAATGAATGAATAAAATGCAGAATGTTAGTTTAGTATAGTAGCCCAGCACCACCTAAACATTCTGCACCTCTGATGTGATAATACAGTACAGTACAGTACTATAGTAAATACATAAATAACAGTTTGAACCTTTGAAACCTTTTCAAAACAAATCTCTGCTGATACCAATATCAGCGAACATCCCCCAGTACTCTCGGCTCTCATGAGTACAGGAGTAAACGGTGGACTGAACTTCTACATTACTCTTATTAGATGAGAGAAACGATTTTTAACAGAGAGGCCTCTATTTTAACAGGGAAAACGATCAAAGAGAATCGGTCAAATGTTAGAGACTTTTAACAAAGCACAACTGTGTCAAAATTTTGGCCTAATGTTAGATTTTTTGCTTCTTTCAGTACTAAAGTATATTTCACTGCTGGGCAGCCATTAAGCATGCAAAGGTGTAAATCATTAGTGACTACACAACCAACTTTATTTCAAAATCACTTACACAGAATGTCAAATGGCACCCTATGTAGTACAATATGTAGGTCTTAAAATAATGACTGGCACCCAAACAGTGAATAATGTGTCTAACAAAGAGCGATTTGAGATTCAGCCACATGTGCACAATTCTCTATAGCTACTGCACAATTTTTGTGTAGAAGTCCAAATTTAAGAACTCACATAGTTCACTATATAGGGCAAAAATTAGTCATTTGGGGCTTAGCCACACCCAGCAAACACACAACATTGTCTACTTTCTTACAACGTTGCTACCACGTTGTCAAAAGGTTATGCTGTTTACGTTGTGTGAACAATGTCGTCACAACCTCATTATTAAGTAACACTGCCCTATGACAGGACGACTACCTATTGGCATCTTGGCAAATGTTCAATACACAACGTAAGGGAACTGAGGAATTCTAGCAGATTGTGACAACATACTGACAACGTATCCACCACGTTGCTACAACTTTCTAGAAAATTTTCAGATAACGCTGTAACAGCTTTGAGGAATTACATTGCAACTTACATGTGAGCACCAGATCAAAAGGTTGTCAACGTTGTCACAGTGTAAGCGTTTCCAAAAAAATGCTTTCCATGCCCTCCATGTAAAAAAAAACAAAAAAACCGCAATGTACGGTAGCTACTAAGCCTCTCGACCACAATGTAACGTCACGTCCGGAGTTTAGAGTGCGGGTCGGCAACTAGCCCCTTCCACGTACACTCCTAGTTTTTAACTAACGTTAGTTTTTTTGATACTGTATTAAACCCGTTAACGCCTTTATAAACAGAAAGATGATATTGGAAGAGAATTAGTGAAAGAAATTATTAATACAATAACTACTTCAAATACAATATCGTTGGTATTTGTACCGTAGACAGAATCATTGTGAATCGAAATAACACTGAAATAGGAATTGATACCCATCATCCTGCCTAATGATACCTAACTATCATCAATCACACACCACCATTCATGTTTAACTCCAGAAACAATCTTCAGATTCAGAGTCTTTGTAGAGCGGAATGTATTCAGAAGATATAAGTGGACTTCAAAAGACAATTTAAGCAAATTATAGTAAAAACTGAACTTTACATTTGGAAAGCAGGCAACGCTGCTGACGGACAGAGCAGGATGCAACTAACGTTAGGCGGGAAGCACATCCTGTGGGAGCACCGGTAATTACTGTGATGCTTCGAGTGTATCCGCAAATAAACTATATAGCTACTCTAAACCCCCTCGATAGTAGTAAGGTCTGTTGTAAAATGTATGTTACTTTTCTTACTCTTGCAAAGATACATTGCACTATACACAACACAGCGGACATGACCAACAAATGTAGCCACATTGTTAGCTATAGCAAAAATATTGCTAACTAGCTACCTAATGCGGCTAACGACAACACATTTACTACAAAAATGTTAGTTTGCAAACTATCAACTGTTACAGCTAAGACAGTTACCTCGTTTGCGTTTTAATGATGAGCACTTGTTTATTCCAGGATCAGTTTAACATGAGTAAAATTACACCCACACTGCACGTGTCGCTCGCCGACACAAGCCAGCTTGCCAGCCTGCTAACCCCAAATGCTCCGTGAATTAGAGGGTGACTGAGAACTGCTGAAGCAGCTCCGTTCACACCAAGTGCTACGCCGATAAAACAACGTCTAACACCTTGAAAAATGCTTAAGTGCAGATGCTGAGTTTTCTTCACATAGGCCAGCGCCTCTGAGGTTCACATGGTGACATGCACTTCGCTGAGCAGCAGTGTAAACGGAGATAACCGGGTGGGCTATTATTAACTAGCCATAACTAAAGCGCTTACCTTCTGTTACTTCTAACACCTTAATTTGCTCCTCCGCAGCGGCACGCACTTCTTGAACCGGCGAAAGAATGGCAGTCAGTGTCTCAATTAAAGCCTCCTTTAGCCCTTGCTCAACTGGACCCGCGGGTGAAACCGCGCCGGGTGCTGAAGCGCTCATGCCCGCCATATTCTCTCCAGGCTTGCCGAAGCAATGGCGGCAGAACCACGGTGTAGCGACACCACTGCACTGGAACGCTGCGCGCCAAAGCACCAAAGAGGAGGGGCTTTACGCTGATGAACTGTTTCCACTCTTTTCAGGCTTTAGTAGTTTGACACCTCAGCTCCATCTTCAGGAAGGGAGGTAGAATAACAAGAACGTTCCATCAGCACTGCCGCCGTAGTTTATGTCTTGTGCTATTATAACACATCGTATCAAGTTCATCCAAAACAGTACAAGCACAACAAATAAGTAGGATTGGGCAATACCAAGAACCACTGCTAATATCCTGATACTGACTCTTCAAAAACCTGCTGGTACACGTAAATATGAGTAATCATTGTGATTTTTACAGAGAAAAACAGTAAATTACATCAAAAATGCATTAATGAAATCCTTTGTATTGTATTGTTCTAAATTAAGCTGCCCCATAATATCCCTGTTTTGTGGGGTGAAACTTCATATGATCATGTGGCTGTCTGTGCCAATACTTTTCTGTATCAAATACAAGTTACAGATATTCAATGTAATGCTTAAAGAAAACACTTTGTATACATTCATTGTCAAAAAAATAGTTGCACACAGAAGGAAGTGTCGGATTGCAAAGATATTCAGAATGAAGATAAAGGTTACCGGGAATAATTAATTAATAAAAAAATGTGGGCAATATTTATTGAGCTACACCTATAGAAGTAATGTCTTTCAGTATGGTGTCGGGCCGCCATGTTTGCTAACGCAACATGCCAGACCTCTCGGCCTGGAGTTGTAGAGATTCCTAATGGTGTCCTGCAATAATCCATCCCATGCAGCTTCAATATTCTCACACAGTCTATGCAGATTTTGCGGTAGAGGTTGAGTGTGCATCCAATAACATCCCACACATTTTCAATCGGGGATAGGTCTGGCGATGCAGCTGGCTATGGCATAGTAGCTGTGTCTTCAAGGCAAGCTCTCGAGACGACAGCAGTATGCGGACGAGCGTTGTCCTGTTGCAACAGCACGTTCAGTGCGTTCAGAAAAGGTAGGGACCACTGGTTGCAGGATCTCATTAATGTAATGTTAGGCTGTCAAAGTATCTGTGATGAAAACCAAAGTGATCTGGCATCCTACGAAATTGTACCCCACATCATGACACTAGGCCTTCTGGTCATGTGACACGTGACAACAAACCGTTCCTCTTGGCACTGACCACTGTGCCTCCACACACAAATTCGTTCGTCTCCACCAAGACAAAAGCGGGACTTGTCAATGAAGATGACCTGATGCCATTCTGAGTCACTTCATGACAGTCTGGCACGCACCATTGTAGCCTTGGGCGACACTGACATGGTGTTAAGGGCAGTCGTCGTAATGGTCTGCGTGCATGTAGTCCTGTGTCATGCAGCTGTCTCCCAATGGTGCTGGCACTAACAGGATGACTCATGGAGGGCATCACTGCTCGCTGAACATCCGCACTCCACGCATGTCAGACAATCCGTCCGTTCTCCCTCTTCAGGGTTCGTGTAGCTCTCCCAGACCCTTCTTGTCGCTGGTGCGTGCCTTATATCCACTATACCGCCAACAGCATGCTATGGTAATATCCGCATGACCAGTATCGCGCGCAATACGTCGATAAGACCATCCTGGACGACCTTATGTAGTCAGTCAGGTACAGCGATAAGTCTTTGCTTACATCGCATGCGCTGCCAAGCATGAAACCTGAATCATTCGGATGTCTCACAATGTCAAACCTACCCAAACCTACCCCCAAGTTTCATTCCTGATTATTTCTGGGTGCATCTATTTTTTTTGACGATGAGTGTATTTGTAAAGATCAACTCTCAAAAAGAAACTGGATGTATCAATCCACCCTCCCCTAAAAATGAGCATTTCCATAATATTGCCTTGTGGAACTGTCAGTGAGAACAACTCATTTTATTCCACAGCTGAATTAACATCATTAATAGTGTTTCTTTTTTTTAAGAAACAGCATAAAGTCACAAAGTATAGTTCACACTTCTTCTGTCTGCTACATCACTCAGACGACCTACATCAGGATTCTGTACAACCGTCAACAATGCAAGAAGCTACAGATCAGAGCAGATCTCAAGCTACCGAAAATCAGGGCAACCAGCATAGACAATGCTGGGATAAATAAATAACATTATTAGATACATGTACCAAAGCAGGGTTCCAAAAATAAATTCAGACCTATCTGTTAAAAGTCCAATTAATACAATTTGGTGGAAAAAGCCCCAAAGCAAAGTCTTCTGATTACTTCACGTTAGAAGGAAACATGGCTTCTGAAAAACTGAATCCAATTTTACATTCGGGGAAGCTGATATCCCTCTGCTGCGTATTCACGGGATGGAGACTCCTGAGGTACATCTCTGTATCATATCTTCTAGACAAGAGAAAGAACGTTTATAAGAGGAAATGTAAAAATACCAGAAAAGCTGACAAGAGTCTTAAATGGTTCTGGATAACAGTCCTATCAAGAAGAACGTAGCACCGGAGTAACAGGGAGGACTGATTGGGACTTCTGAGGACAAGGAAATGGATCTGGTGCATACTTGGTGCTATAACTCATGTGCAAAACAAAGTCTTTTGACTTTTCAATGTGTTTCTGCTTTGGTCCTCATTACATCAAATCATTTAATGAGCAGTTGACGCAGATGTAGTCCTCATTCTCGGCCTGCTCAGCAGACACACCCACACATGTCTGGTGGAACCACTGATTACAGCTACCATCACACTGGACCCAATTAACCTGCGAGAAAAGAGGAAAAAAGGATATCAGAGGCTGAGAAAGTCTCAGTGCATACACCAAATCATTTGTGCAATCATGTGCTATTAATTAGTACTTAAAGTTAAATGAAAGCATAAGAGAGCACTATAAACTGACCTCGTTGCCCTCTGGCTGCAAACATTGCTTTGCTGAGCACACAGACCAGTCTTCTTCTGAATCCTCTGAACTGGATGGGTCTGAGAGCGAATTAGAAGGGGAGATGTTTCTTTTTTCCTCACGTCTCCTCTCCTTGTTCGTCTTAGGCTTCTTTTTCTTGGGCTTCTTAATCTTGCCTCTGTCCTGCACATCAGGGTTCTCATTCTCCAAGCGCCTTTTGGGATTCTTCTCTAGCTTCTCCCTTTCCTTCTGCAACTCCAGGATGACATCCTAGAATGAAACATTAAAACAATTAATCAGTCTTACCTCTTCATCTCAATACATTAATACAATATAAATAATAGTCAATTACGATGTGTATCCTACACAGTAAGGATTCATGGAAGAACACTGTAGTCTAACCTGTCCTTTGCTGTGGGGTGGACTTTTGTGCAATGGGCTCTTGTGGGGTGGGCTCCTGTCCTGAGCAATGTAGTACTGATGGTCATGCTCACTACTCTGGAGGGAGTGGTGAGAGGGGGAGAACCGGCTAAGCAGGCCTTGGTAGAGCTGTTGCAGCTCGGGTAAAGTCACCTGCAGCAGGAGGCCCTCTGCCAGTAGCTCTTCCAGGTCAGGGCTAAGAACTAAGACACAAAATACCCACACCAAACACATTCAGATACACCAGTGCAATTCAGATTTCCTAGGAGCAGTCACATTAATGCATGAAATTCTCTACTGACCACTGAGAGGAATGCATGGATGAAGCATGTAGAAGGAACCGTTACTCCCTTCTAGGGTCAGAGTGGAAGCCATTCCAGAAATAGTTCTAATCTGTAGGGTATTATAAGAAGAAAAAAAATTGATGAAACCAAGCACCAATAAACATATGTCTTAAGACAACAATCAGCTTTAACACATCCTCCGTTTCAATACATGTTCTCACTAACTTTGCCTCTTTGAAGTGTATAGCACCTAGAGCCCCTTTCACACATGCACTTTTTCCTGGAAATTTAACCGCAATTAAACGGAAAGGGGTTAAGTCTAAATGCAAGCTGCAGTACCATTTTACGTGCCAATTTACCTGCACAAGACCTGGTACACCTGTGAAATTACCAGGATCACTTGTGTAAATAGAAGCCAATACATTACTAAGGAACAAAGACATGCAGATTACAGCCAGTAAAGCTGAAAGTCTCTATGAAAACTTTTTACAGTTCTACAGGAGCGTATTTTGTACATGATTCTAGAAAGAAGCGGCAATAAATAAATAAAAAGAAAATAAAAACAATAAAATAACAAAAAAAAAAATCTATTAGTTTTTTTTATATTAATGGAATGGTACGTTAAAATCTAATTTCTACAATGTTCTACCTCTGATGCACTTGATCAACCAAGACATGTTCAGTGTCTAAAATTTTGCTTCTTTAGCTTAGTGCTGGAGCTGAAATGCTAATGTTGCAAAAAGACACAAGTCAATCATCACCTAAATCATGCATCCAGGTCTTCATAAAATTGATGTTGTTTACGACCATGTATGACAAGTTTGAAATGGCTGCCCTCAGCATTTAAGTTTTAAAATACTGTTAATTTTATAGTTCATAGAAAGTCATATTGTGTCCTAAACCAGATCAAGATGTCCTTAAGACCTTAAAGAAGACCTCAGTGTGGTTTTAGTGGGTTGACAGTATTTACAGAAAAGATCTGGGAGATTATGGACTTCCGGTGTTTGTTAGCAATGTTAAACTTTTCTTGGCTGATCAACTACATCTGGGGACGGTGCAAATTGTATTTTTTGCTGAACTATTTTTTAAATGTTGATGTATTTGATCACTCTGACTTGAACAGCTTTGTCCAACATATTTTGGGGGACAGAAAATGAAATTACATCAGATTGCAATTCTCTGCTAGAATTCTCAGACACAATCCATCACTCCAAGGGCTCTAACAAACTTCAAATGATCCAACAAAGTAACAAAAATGAATTTAAGATGTTGTAGATTTCCCCAAGGGGAAATAGTGCGATAGGCCAACCACAGAATGTTAAAATCAGTACTGAAACAGAGAAAGCAATTGTGCAAGCTTACTTTCCCACTAAATTGCTGTGTAAAAGGGGAGACCTGTTGCACTCTATGCTGCCAACGCACTGTCCTCTCGATCAGATAACGCAACGCATCACCCTCTGGTAGACGGACTCGGATACGCTGAAGAGAGGCTAGCAGGGGCAACACTTTGTCCAAGGGGGGCTTCTTGGATCGACTGCAGCGCGGGCATAACCACAGCTGCCCAATCTGTGTTTCCTGGAACCCTGGTACGCAGCCACTGTGGTAAGCATCGCGGCAGAGTTCACACTGGAGCATGGGGCCTGCTGGCACTGTATGACACAAACACACTGTAGGTGCAGAACTGTTGTGTGTTGGCTGAAACTTTGCCTCATTTGAGGTCCTCAAAACAGACAGGTTCTCCAGCTCCTTCAGACGTACCTCACCAAGAGTGGCCATCTATTGAGTGGGGAAACACAATTAAATGTGCCTATTAAATCATATGCTCCATTATGCATTACAGCCATGATTTACAACACGATAGTACTATGTATTACGCATCAAAATATGTGGAATATGCTCTATTTATCTTTGTGTTAAGTAGAAGAAAACATACTGCTGAGGTTGTGTCTTTGCTTTCAGAGAGAGCTTTCTCCACATCACTGAGACAGTCCAGTTTAACACCTGTTTTTTTGCCAGTTGGGGAGACATCTTTCACTCTTTTAGATTTTGATTTCAGACACTCTGTCTCACACTTGGGACACAGGACCTTAAAAAGAAACATAGACACAAAAAAGACAAAGACACAGTGCAAAATTAAAACATAATTATTCACATACATGCATACAGATCTCGAAGTCTTTACTGATCAGCAAACATTCACCTCCAAGAGTGACAGAGAGGAGTTCTTCAACAAAAATGTTTTAACTGCACTCTCTTTCCAAGCCTGCACCTCAGACACCAGGCTCTCCAGCCGAGCTAGTGACTCCAGCAGAACTGGGATGCCCTTAGCTTTTGAGACCAGATCAGACAGTGTGGCAAGAACAGGGACACGCCCACCAAGCTGCAAACACAAATACAAACTTAAACAATACTGATACAAAGGTAATATAAAGAAAATATACTAAATTACAGTTTACTATATGCAAATGCTGAAACAGATGATGGGATATTGACCTGTAAGGCATCCGCCTCCTGTATCCACTCTCTGGCCTTGCTGACAGCATCCTTGAGCTGGAGACAATTAGGCAGGTAAGCATGAATACTGTTTACTTCCAGCAAGGCTGCCTCCAGCATCTCCAGATTATGACAAGGCCTACAGCAGAAAGATATCAAACATTAACGCACACACACACACACACCACACACACACACACACATATACAAAAAGGGACTCTCATTACTGATACTGAATTCAGTATACATTCTATGACATGCAAATAGGTTCCTCATTTCCACATCTTCAAATTACACTACATTATATACAGACGTGTTAACAGGGTGGCATCCTACAGAATGGCTTGCACTGCTTTCAACATATGGACAGTGGCACAGGCATACTGGTGGTCACAATACGTTGATCCTGTTAATCTGTCAGGAAGCAGCTTTGCACTCCAAATGCTAACCCAGCACATTTTACCTCGTCAGGACTGACTAAACTATTCAAGCATTTTTTGTGCATACTGGTAGAGAACAAACTGTTGTTCTCTACCTTTTTACTTGACAAATACACAGGAATAAAAAACTTAAGGCCCAGCTAATTTGCAAGTGAAATCCTGCTTGCAGCATATGCAAACCTGGTGTGGTCCAATAAGCTTTACAAAGCAGCTATGCCAAATCTATTTCAGCACCCATATCTTATGGCAAAGCCACAAAGACATAAAAAGACAAAAAAAAGTGTGCACCTATCCATGAACAATTGCTATAAATAATGCATGCTACCCCCTTACCTGGCAGTCAGCATGTTATGCGCCTTCTCCTCCCAGTGCTCGCACACAGTAAGCAGTTCCTGCAGCCAGGCCATAGTCCTCTCCACACAGGCATGGGGTGCCAGTCCCACACCCTGGTCAATCAGCCTCCTCATGCAGTCCAGGCTGAGGCTAGCAGGCTGCTCGCTGGCCTGCTGCACAGCCTCCACCCACCGCGCCTGTTCCAACCTCTGCCTGAGCACGGCCAACTCCGGCAGGTCCACATCCAGACTGGTGCCCTCATCGAGCAAGCCTTGCAGGGCCACTGAGCCAGGCATGTCCTCAGCCAGGAGGTCTGCACTCCGCTGCTGGAACTGCTCAATGCGGCTCAGCAGAGCCTGAGGTGAGGAGAGAAAAGGAAGGGGAAAGAAGGAGGGGGAAGAGAGACTAATTGATTCTATATTATCACACATTAACATATGATTTAAATGAAAAACTCCAGCCATTTTCAACCTTTTCTGCATCTGCTACATATTTACATAGTTATATATATATAGTAAAAGACTGCCTCAAAGCACACTTATAACAGAAGTCAATGAGCAGGTGGTGAAGCAAGTGTGAATTAATATGCTTTCTACTCTTTGACTATGTACAAGGAAACACAGACCAAAATATCACTGATTTTTCATGCTACATGTCTAGTCTATTTTTCAGACTATTGACAGGCAATGTGGTTCAGTACCTTGAGAAAAGGGGCCTGTCTGATTGTGCAGGGCAGGTCATAGAGCTGCTGGATAAATGACCTCAGCTCCTCAACAGTGAGCTGGTTCTGAGATTTTCCTCCACCAGTGCGATACCTACACAAACAGAGTTTAGTAATCAGCGATGAAATGCCCACAACCAGACAGTCCTTATGCTAATATCAGAAAAATGTAGGCCTCCAGCATGTGGCCTGTTGTAATTAAGATGGCTTGGAAAAGCCAACTTCCTGTTTTGTAATTTTCTTATTACTATTCCACGCTTAAAATATGAAATGTTTCTCATCCCGCAATTTTTCAAGCTAGAACAACAAAACTTTGCAGGATCGTAGGACTTATACCTGTCTAGGTTGCTTGTGCTTTTCTAAGTGATCCGTCATTCAGTTTTCATAAAACAATTGTTCAAAGACAATATTTTTTCCCTATAGGAAAAGAATCGGAGTAATGTTCAGAACATCTAACTGGTGTAAGTGATTTCCCAATGCGCATCTCGCACACAGACACGCATGCACAATACACACAGACTCACACAGTTACAGCCTAATGCACAGCAATAACAGCAAAAACAATGGATTTAAGGTGGAAGTAAATGTAAGGCAGCAATGAATTTAAGGTAGCAGGAGATTTAAGGTAGCAGTGGATTTAAGATAGCAATGATTTTCAGGCATCAGTAAACTTAAGGTGGCAAAACATTTAAGGTATCAGTAAATTCAAAGTGGAAGTGAATTTAAGGTGGTATTGAATATAAGGTATAAAGCACATTTAAGGCAGCAGTGAATTTAAGAGGCATTTTTTTTTTTTTAGGTATAAGTAAATTAAAAGGTGGCAGACGATTTAAAGTGGCAACTGATTTAAGGTATCAGTACATTTAAGGCAGCAATAAATTGAAGATGGCAGTGGACTTAAGGTAACAGTAAATTAATGGTTGCAGTGACTAAGGTGTCAGTGGATTTCAGGTATCATTAACTTAAAGATGGCAGTGGATTTAAGGTATCAGTTCATTTAAGGTGGCAACAGATTTAAGGTGACAGTGAATTTAAGGTATAAGTAAATTTAAGGTGGATGTGGATTTAAGATACCATTGAATTTAAGGTACTAGTGCATTTAAGTTACCAATGAATTTAAGGTAACAGTGTGTTTAAGGTAAGTGAATTTAAGGTGGATGTGGATTTAAGGCAACCACTGAATTTAAGGTAGCAGTGTATTTGAGAAAGCAGTGTATTTAAAGTAACAGTGAATTAAGGTAAGAGTGAATTTAAGGCAACAGTGTGTTTAATAACACAGTGACTATCTAGCAACACTTTAGCAACAACCTGTGAAACCATAGCAACCATCTAGCAACACCTTAGCAACTATCAACATTCTATCACCATTTTAATGTTTTTAACATAATTTGTGCTTTCTGGACTAATCCAACATATGGTTTAACTTCAAAGATGAAGTTTTACCTACTGGAAACAAATGGCAGAATATTCAGAACATTCAAACTAACTGCCAGAAATGCACATTGTCCACACAGACACTCATACACAGTATACACAGACTCACATGCATATAGCCTAACTCACAAAAATAGTAACAGTAATAATAACAGTAGTTAACAGTAGTAATAACAAAACTAAAATGGTAATAGCAGAACTAACAGTGACAAAACAGTTACGACAAATAAAATTTGGATTTGAGAAAGCTTTAAATTTAAGAGAGCAATTAATGTAAGGTAGCCTGAGATTTAAGGTGGCAGTGGATTGAAGGTACAAATAGACTTAGGGTATTAGTAGATTTATAGTGGCAGCGGATTTAAGGTAGGAGTGGATTTTAAAGTATCTGAAGATTTTAGGTACCAGTGGATTACAAGTGGTAGTGGATTAAAGGTACAAATGGGCTTAAGGTGGTAGTGGATTTAAGGTAGCAGTGGATTAAAAGCAGCAGTAGATTTAAGCAGTAAATTTTGAAGATACAGGATATTTAAGGTGGCAATGAAGTTAAGGTATCAGTGTACTTACGGTGGCATTGGATTTAAGGTAGCAATGGATTTAAAGTAGAGCTGGGCGATATGGCCAAAAACGTTATCACGCTAAACAAAATTCATATCGCTCGATATCGATACATATCGCGATAAATGTCAAATCATGATTTCTTTCACGTTTGAAGGCTGATTTTGCTCCTGGGTGGTTAATTGTGGTTTTAAACTATCACTTACGGTCTGATCATGACAAACACTCGGCAAACAGTGGAACATTTCACTAATCTGTCATGGAAGAGTGGGAGAAAGTTTCTGAGCTGTTTTTATCATCTTGAAATGCACAGCTGCAATTTTTGTAATAGTCATGATTTATGAAAGAAAACAGTTTATTTTTAGCTGTCTGGTGATGAGCACTTGGCTACCCTGTTACAAATGCTAAACAAGTGGCCAACAACAGTGCTAAACTCTTTAGTTTCTCAACATCGTCAACTCGATTCAGGAGGTCACTGCCGTCACTCCTACCACATCCATGTCAGAGCATATCACAGTATTCAGACACCAGCTAGCGACGACTGGATTTCTCTATGCTATCGCAGTAGTTTAAGGGGTGAACCGCAGTATATCTGACATTCGCTGTGTAAAAGCATCATCTGCAGTGTGAATCTCTCACACCAGACAAACAGAGTCCTCTTTTTAGGGATGTTTAAACTGAAAGCGGTGATTTTGTGTCTTGTTTGATCTACAGTATCATCAATTCACCGTGTTTTGCCGGAGCGCTGCTTCAAGATAGCCAGCAGCTAAAAACAGCTAGCCTGGAAAGATAGCGCTTTCCCGCTCTCCAATGCCTCACAGCTTCCTCAGTTTACTTTCGTTTAAATCAGGGCTGTAACGAACATGAACCCACTTCTTTCTTTCACTTTCGTTGCTCGAGAATGCACTAATACTAACATATGACGGTTTGGCGCTGTAACACGGCGCTGCAGACGTGATTTAACACCGCTAAAGTTGTTAGGATGCATGGAAAGAGGTGAGTTCGCTGTAGGTCAGTACAGTTACACCACTGACCTCGTCACTCACACTCGGTCACAGGAGAACAGATCGCCGGTAACACTCGTGGCCCCCTCCCTCTCTAATCAAGTCGAAAAATTCGGAAGTGCGCCCTATCTCCTGGCGACAGCAGAGTAGTGTCGCTTTCCTTGCAGTAGAAAACGCCACCAGGGCTTTCGCTAAAACGTGGAAGTGTGAGAATGGTGTATTATATCGAACATTTATCAAACCTGTCTTATCGCTCTATCGAGGAAAAGTTATATCGCGATACTTATCGATATCGTTTTATCGCCCAGCCCTAATTTAAAGTATAAACAGATTTAAGGTTGCAGGAGATTAAAAGGTAGCAGCGGACCTAAAGGTTTATCTGGTGTTAAAGAGGCATTGGATTAAAGGGAAAAGAGGATTTAAGATTTAATTTTGAGGTCACTGTAGATTTAAGGGGGCAGTGGATTTGAGGCAGTAGTGGATTTAAGATGGTAGTGGATTTAAAGCAACACTAGATTTAAGGTACAAATGGCAGTAGACGTATGGTAACAGTGAATTTAAAGTAGCAATTAATTTAAGGTAGCAGTGACCAACTAGCAACAGCTTAAAAACAACCTGTGACACCATAGCAACCACGTAGCAACACATTACTAACCACCTTGGACACCATAGCAACCACCTAGCAACATTTAAGCAACACTTTGGCAAGCATCAACATTCTTCCACTATTTTAACTTTTGAAAGTAATTTGCTGGCTTTTTCAAGCCAACTTAAAATTTGTTCATGAACTTTTCACATTCCAGTTCACATTATATTTTGGTGGGTATACACAAGTTTAGAAAGGTTGTACCTGGTCTGTCTCTTGCCATTAAGTAACTGCTGGGCCACTGAGGCACTCTTCTCTGCATCCTGGATGATTTGGCGCAAATGCCGCAGCAGGTCCATCTCGGGGTACATCTTCTTCTCTGCCTCCACAACCAGTGCACGAAGGTCCTCCAAGTCTGGCAGCAGAGGAAAGAAAGAATGAGTATCATACACATACATTAAATGTCGGAATGTTTACCATGAGAGAAACAGGAAAAAAGTTTAAATTGTCACCAGGCACTTACCACTTTTGTCTTGGTCAGTCTTCAAAATCTTGTTAACCTTAGAAGCCCAATCATCGTATGACTCTGCACGTGTTCCAACAGCCTTAAACATTTGGTTCAACACACCCAAGGTGTATTTATAACTGTAAATCCACACAAGAAAAGAGATACATGTAGAACAGACAGTTTTTGAGCATACAGAGGTAAATAAAATATTTTTAAATAAATATCAAAATATATGTTTAAGTGCTTTATTCAATATTTTACTTTTAAGTTATTGCCAAATATATACTGTATATGAATATATATGGGAATTATCCTTTTACTATTCAATTATCCATTTACTACATGTTTAAATATTTTTTATCAAGTTATCTCCCTTTTTCAGGTTTTGATCAACATTTTTGATCAAGGCATTCTGGATATTAGTTTAATTAGAACCATTCATTTGCATTCATAATTCACACACATCTATCTAACAATTGTAATCTTTTTATACATTTATTTGCAACAGAATTGGTATTATAACACTGAAAAAAAATTAATAAAAAAAATACTCCAAACTTCCAAAAATCAATTCCAAACCTTCGACTGATACTGTATCTTTACTGAAAGAGAAAAAAAAAAGTCATAAGAATGAGAAATAATTGAGATACAAAACTGCAAAAATTAATGCTTTAAGCTTGTGCAAAAATTGGTGTGCACTTGAAGCACACTTGAGGGAAGTACATTTAAGAGCATATCAGTAGTTCATCAATAGTCACCAGTAAGCTTGAAGGTTTTGGCATCTGTTAAAAACTCATTTAAAAAAAAATAAAATAATAAAAATACTACCCCTTTCCCATAATAGTTGGGACACTATTCAAAACGTAAACATCACACACAAACTCACAACTAATTAGGCTGATTGGCAATAGGTCATTAACATGACAGGTATAAAAAGAGCATACCAGAGAGGCTCACTCTGAGAGTGAGAGGTTCACCACTGTGAAAGACTGCACAGGAAAACAGTGCAACAATTCAAGGAAAACATTTCTCGAAGAAACTTTTGGGATTTCATTTTCTACAGTAGATAATATCATTAATAAATTCAGAGAATCTGGAGGCAATCTCTATTTGTCACGGACAAGGCCAAAAATCAGTATTGTCTGGCCATGATTTTCAGGCCCTCAGGCAGCACTGCATTAAAAACAGACATGATTCTATAATGGAAATCACTGTATGGGCTCAGGAACACTCCTGAACACCAGTATCTGTGAACAAAGTTAATCGACGCATTCACAAATGCACTTTAAAACTCATATATAAACTCATACATAAACACATATAAAAGAGGATTTAGAATCACCACCACCTTCTCCGAGTCTGAGCTCATTTCTAAGGCAAAGAGGAAAAGTTCCTGTGGTCTGATGATTCAAAATTTGAAAATCTTCTTGGAAAATCATTGATGACGCATCCTCCAGGCTAAAGAGGAGAGGGACCATCCAGCTAATAAGCGTACAGTTCAAAAGTCAATATTCATGGTGGTATGGGGGTACACTAATGCATACTGCATAGCTGACTTGCAGATTTGCAAAGGCACCATTAATGCTGAACAATACATACAGAACATACGCTGCCATCCTGACAGCATCTTTTTCAGGGAAGGCCTTGCTTATTTCAGCAAGACAATGCCAAACCACATTCTGCATGTATTTCAACAGCTTGGTTCTGCAGTAAAAGAGTCCAGGTGCTAAACTGGCCTGCCTACAGTCCAGACCTGTCCACCGTGGAAATCATTTGGCGCAAAACAAAACAACAAAAAAAAAGAAAAAAGAAAAAAAAAATAAAAAAACACAAAGGATTTGAACGGCTGACCAGCTGAAATCCTATATCACGCAAGAATGGAAAACATTTCACTTTCAAAATTACAGCAACTGGTCTCCTCAGTTCCCTAACACTGCTGTTAAAAGAAGAGGTGATGCACTGCAGTAGTAAACATTTCCCTGTCTCAACTTTTTTGAAACATATTGCTGGCATCAAATACATATTTATTTTAGTTTACATTTGACATGTTGTCTTTGGACTATTTACAATTGAAAATAGGTTTTAAATGATTTGCACTTAACTGCATTCTGTTTTTATTTACATTTTATTTACATTTTTCTTTTTTTAGAAAAAGACTGTACATAATACACCTTTTAATGATTTTTTAATTAAAAACTACATATACCTTATTCAAATACTTGATTAAGTACAAAATTATTAAGTCGAATTCAGATAGCCATATATTTGAATAATCACGCACATCCCTATTGCAAACATACAGGGACTCACTTCAGTGTGTAGTTGCTGGGGTCGCAGGAGCACAGGCCCTGGAGGTGGTGTAGACAGACCAGCTGGTTCGGGCTGCAGGGACACATGATGGCAGACAGGTAACAGGTGGTCCTGCACTTAGCACACTGCCTCTCCTCGTCTGGTTGCTCTTCATAGTCCACCTGCTGGGAGTGCCACACACCCTGGGGAAAAGAGCATGCACACGTTGGGATCAATTAAGTATGAAGAGGAGGATTTTACATACAAACAGAAAAGGGAGGAGAGTGGCAGAACATAAATTATAGAAAACTGCATATGCACTAGTCTTCAGCCGACTGACTCAGGAATCGTCCACTGATGGAATCAGATCGGACATAAATGCCAAAAAATGTGCTGTTGATTTAAGGTGTGCAAAAGTAAATCATATGCTCTTTAGAATAGGGCAAAGAAACTTTATTTAAAAACAGTGCAAGGCAGCACATTTTACCATGCTCGGGCTTAAAAAACATATGCTGTACCCTTCTATGTGCACATCTATAATACAAGTAACAGTAACAGACTGATTTAACTTGGTAGGCATTAGACTATATTAGCAATTGGCAGTGGGCTGTGGGCAGATGGTTATTAGCTGTATTTCTGTGGTAATATGTAGTGATCTAGGTAAACACTAAATGACTGTACATAGATACAGATTTAAATGAATAGAGCTTGAAGATTCCTTTAACTTGCAGGCTTACCATTCTGTCATTAATAATAAGACTTCTTTAGTAAATACCATACATTTCTTGGTAACTACTATGAAAAAGTTACTAATTTAGTTATGAAAGTGAGGAACCTTATGGACTCCTGGAGTTTTAAAGCAACATTATGTAACAACTTTACCCTAAAATAACAGCTTCAGAATCATGCTGATGGTACACGGACTTATAATATGGAGAATGACATCTCTGTCACTGCCACTCCGGCTGCTACTGCACTGAGCAACTTTGTAGAGCATGCACAAGACCTCTCACGAGAACTGTTTAACTCTTTACGGCACCACGTCACACACCAAAATCTATAGGTCTTCAGCTAGCTATAAGAAGAAACTAACTCGGTATTCCCAGCATGAACATCACGGCAGAGGCTGCAAAGAGACCAAAGAAGACATTGTCGGAGGAAGCAAGAAAGAAAAAAAAAGAAAGAATGACAAAGAGAATGAGAAAGAGACAGGACAAGAGTAAATCTTGGATTGGCATTTACTCATTGGTAAGCGCTAAAAGAGATAAAAGGATGCAAGACAGATACTGTGCAGCATTTCAGCAAAACTAAAACTTTCTCATTCTTTATTATTCTTTTTGTTATGTTTTGTTATTGTTCATCTTTAATGTCACAATAAATAAATCTATGCAGAATCATATTTGTGTAAAATCTTCTAATATTACTCTACCTTGTCAGTCAACGTGGTTCTTTCACTTCTGACGTTGTCTTTGTCAGTCATTAAGCTTGTCAACAAATGCACGTGTACAGCTGTCCATGAGGGGGCCTCAAAGCAAGATTTATATTTACAATAGTGGTGTAAAAGTGTATTACAACATGTTGATTTTCGCCTAGGGCACTGAAAATGCGCTCAGACGTGCTGGTGACACATTGGCAAACTTATTTACTTGTAATACTAGCTGTCACGGTAAAGGGCTTCTTATTAGGCATGATGCCAACAATACAACTGTCAAACAGTGATGGTTGGGAGAGAAATCAGATGATGGTATCTTTCATGCAATCGCACAATCCTAGCATACACTTCATTAGACGGCAGTCCTTATGCACACTGTTGACATCCCATGTTGTCAGCTTTATTTACCACTTTTGGTGTGCTGTGTTTGGTGTGATGCATTAGGCTAATGTGTTCTCCTGCCAAAAAAGTGATATCTCACCAGCTTGTAAGCCTTCTCACGCAGCTCCTTCTCCTCTTGAATCATAGCACACAAGTCCTTCTGTATGGCAGAGGCCAGCTCCAGCTCCAAGCTGTCTGCCTTGGCCGCAATATTACACACCATCTCATCGTGCGAGAAGACACAGTATCTGTTCAGAGAGCGGTAATGCTCCACACACTGGCGACCCAGAGGGATCTGGAACAAAAATGACATCATCATTACACTATTACTGAGATTTATAGCTCAACGTACCTTAAGACAGCAATGCTACATATTAAATACTGTTATTTACTAAGAAGTGTTTTACCCAGTCCACTGTGCAGAAGTTTACAGCCTCTGCAAAGTTGAAGCCTTGATTGAACCCACTATGATAGGCTCTGGGGAAGGTGATGACAAACTCTCCAGCACACTGATTAGTGCGGTAAATCTGAAAAAGAACAAAAAACATAATTTCTTGTATTCAAACACATTATGGGATGGTCTTCCAGACATGAATTAAGTCTAGCCTTGGCCTAAACTGCAATGCTGATGGTACCTTCCGTCTAGGGTTAAGCTTAATCAGTGTCTAAAAAAACTTAAGCTCTGTAAGCTGTCTGACAGCATGATACTTTTTTACTGCTCCACTGTACTGTATGTGTGCACTCACAGGGACTCCGTGCTCCATTAGGAGATTGGGGTTCATAATGGTGACCAGCTGGTGGAGCAGATCTGGCTGCGACTCAAACAGCTCGGGGGCCAGTTTCTTCATCACCATTTCCAACTGCTCTGCGGCATAGCCAGGAGCACCATACCATGTCTTTGGCTCTCCCCTACACAAACCCACACAAACACGCTAGACCACCGAGATCAAACTCATTTAACCTTGGCGGCCACTGGTTAAGCAAATAAAAAGTGAAGAATGAATTGTGAATGCATGATTAAACTGCAGGTGGATAATTAAACTGGAGATATCACATTAAGCTGAAAGTAAAACCTATTGAACAACTAGTCAACTGTAATTGTACCACATAAAGCAATGTATTTCATTTGCTTAGCATCTGCTTAAAAGTATTAGAATCAATAGAGTCATACCAGTGCAAATAGTTGATAGAGTAGCTCCAGTGATCCTCTATGTGCCAACAGAAGGAGGAAAAGCACATGCCAACATAGAGCCAGGGCAGCTTCATCCCACATATGTCAGCTGTAATGTGAGTCAGCACAGATGCGTCCAGCACCGGCATATTGTTCAGGTTCCAACCACTAGTAAGATAATGCTTAAAGAACAGAAAGAAGAGGGGCTTTGACAAACATTCAACAAATGCTGAACATGCAACAAATTCTAGGCTGTTTTACAGTTTAGTAAGGAGACTATTACTATTATTAATCTTATTACAATCAAATGTAGTAAAATTAAGAGAGTCCATCCTAGACCCATTACGACAGGCAGCACAACGTACCTCTTCATCAGGTGTGACTGTGAAGGTGCCGTTCTTAACAGGGAATCCACTGCCAAAGTCCTTGGAGGCAATGTCTGCCCCATACTCTACAGTCACATCCTCCTCAATGGTACTGACCAGACGCCAGAACTCCTTTTCAACAAGTTCTGTAGGGACCATCTAAGAGAAATAATAAAAATCAATGTCATGGCCTTGCCAGTACATAACTATCCTCTCTTGTATAGCAGAATTGAGGTCTTTAACCCACATGAACAGGCATGTTGAAATAATCTGACTTGAAGGAGTCTGCCATGTCACCAAATGAGCGGAGAGTGTAGTCCCTGGGGGCTTGCTCAAAGCCAAATGCAACCTGAGGCTTGCCACACTCCTGTGGAAAAGAAACATGCATGCATACATTTATAAACCTTGTCAGTTCACTGTGCACAGACCATGCAAGAATTACAAGTAAAAACAAATTACAATCCTTCAGTCAGAACTGTCTCTGGAAAGACAATAACAAATATGGCTCATTACATCTGTGACTGTGTAAACTAAACATTCAAAGGGGACACTGCTGGCCCACTAAAAGCAAAATCTATATTTACTGTCAAAAGTTGAAGTCAGTTGGGGGTTAGTGATTTAGACAATATTCTTAAATTAAGAAAAAACAAATCTACCTCAACCAACCACTGGTTACAGTCAATGGCAGCATAAAAATGCTCACCTGGGCCAGGCACTTGGGGCATCTCCAGTCTCCTTTGGGAACATCATGCAGGGGTGGGATCAGACAAAAGGTGTGGTAGCTGTCATCACACCCATCACATAGCAACAGCCTGTCCTCATCACCCCCTCCACCACATACCAAACACATGTACTGCTCCACCTGTGCAAACATACATAAAAACCAAAGAACATGACAAAACTAAATCTCTCTCATGTTGAATATTCTGAAGACATCATAGGCACAATATGGTAAATTCTGCAAATTAAATCCTTAGGGCAGTCATTAATTGTATTAGTAATAGAATTGCTATGCTAGTAATCAAGTAATTGCCAATTATTTTGACAGTTGGTTGACTAATCAATAGCAAAACATTAAAAATCGTCTGCAACGAACAATTAATAATGCACACCCTTTCCAAAGATTCCAAAATATTCTACTTTAAAAAGACTAAAATTACGTTTTAAAAAATGTGGTAAAATGTACAGAAAATTGTTTGCCAAGCGGAGGTCTTGTAAGAAAGACATGGAGGAGCATTTAAAATATGTATCATCAATGCAAACTGGCAACCGGAGTCACTTTTGATTCACAATTTGAATTGATGATTTTTTTTTTTAACTGTGTAATCTCGACAGCTCTAATATGCATATGGTGCAGGAGATATGACCCATGTATCAAATAGACCAGAAAAGGTAGGTTTCACCACTTAGCTTAGTAAGTGACTTGCTCCTCACCTTTGACTTTTGCCCTTCAGGTGTTGATTCAGCTGGATCTACAGGCTCTTGTTTAACCTGGACTGGAATGTTTTTAACTGAAATAAATGCAACTCAATTAAAAACATTTTGATTGAGAAGGTGAAAACCGCAGAATTGCTTGTGTGGGGACATGGTATAAACACAACTGTTAATTAAAAACAAAACAAACAAAAAACAAAACAAGAGATGGCTACCTGGTTCAGGTTTTGCCACATATGAGCCCATTCTCCTCCTCAGGTTGGGTCTGTTCTCACAGTGCTCACCCTGCTCACTTTTGAAACAGCGACCCTGGGATGGGGAAATGAGCACTTTTTAAAAAGCTGAAGTAACCAATATTTAATCTGGGGCCAAACATGCTTATAACAATGATTGAAACAATCACGCATATTTCCAGTGGCTACATGTTGCCCCTACGGAGCCTTTACCTCTGTGCGCTTGGCTCTGCGAGCAATGGTAGAGATTTCTGAAGGCTGCATTGATTGACGCTGGGGCAAATCATGAGATTTATATTCTTTATCTTTGGTGTCATTGGTGAGAGTGGGCTTCTGCGAGCTCTGGTGGGTTAACACAAAGCAGACAAAACCATAAGTGTCATAAAATTAAAAATGCACACGCAAAATGTAATCAAACAACAATTGCTCTGAAAATTACCAAAGGTATGACTTTCAAGTCTCATTTAAAAACTGTAAAAATATTTTATTTAAACACTTCTAAGTTCTTATTAAATTAATTAGAAGAGCAACGTGAAAATCGACAAAGCAATATTACAATTAGGCTTTCTAAAGTCAGGATAAAAGGGTAAAAGAGCAAAACAGTAAAATTGTGACCTGATGCTCACTAAATGAATACAAGCTTCCGAAGGAAAAGGGAGAGGAGAGAGATGCAGTGGTTGGGGGTGGGGGGGGAGAAGGTAGGGTACTGACAAGCATTTGTTACTGAAAAGAAACTAACCACCAAACCCTCAGGATCATCAGAGCACAGAGCACTGACAAAAAAAAGGAGGAAAAAAAGAAGGTGGCAGACAGGTCTGTATAACAAAACAAACAAAAACACAATGAGAAAAAGGAGGAAAAAAAAACAACAAACACATTGCGATACATATTACACACACACACGAAAGGCACAGAATGTCATTTGTCAATTCAAAGTATTTCACACTGGTATTTTATATTAAGCAACACGTGTTCCTGATTTGAACTACAACATGTTGTATCATCTGTTGATACTGGACGTGAATGCACAATAACAACAGCACTCAACATTAACTGGGGCAGTCTTTCTGCTCTGATGCCTAGAGCAAAGGTGGGATCTTTGGCAAAAACAGACTGGCGAAAAAGCCAACCAATAAAAGGGCCACATTAAAAAAATCCCAACAAATCCAAGGGCCAGAGAGCGTTTATGTTTTAATACGCCAAAACGCCAACAGCAAAATATAGCCCCTTGTAGTAAACCTTAAAATATTACATGTAAATACTTGATATATTTAGGCTACATTAGCTACAGATAGCTGTTAAATCTCTTTAAATGTCCCCAGGAGGTAGGTCTTTTAAACCTATCTGTGTGCTTGGTCTCGACACCGGACATTTTTTCTTTCTGCAAGTTCATAAATTCTTGGGATCAGTTTCTGAGCTGCTGAGTGTTTATAGTGTTTATAGTATTTATGTTAGTGAAAATGCAGCTGAAACACAGCTGGTGTGTTTGGTGATGGGTGCAACTGGGTAGAAAACTGCTGTCCCATAGATTGTTGTTGGGAGTGGGGTGTCAGTGCAAATTACGCTGCAGTGTATGCTGGGGATTGTAGCGCTGCTGACTGTGAAATGGGCTAATATTAATAGAAAATTAAAATAATTTTGAGGGCCGGATTGGATTGTGCCGCCCGCGGGCCTTGTGTTTGACACATGGGACCTAGACATTTTCTTCTCATTGAAGACTCTTCATTTGGATTGCTGTGTAGTCCAGGGCTAGGCTCAATCCTGTCCAGGAAACCAACCATGTATGTCCAAAAGCATCCAGATATTAATTAGTGAATTCTTCTACTTTAAAAGCTGGTGTAGCACAGTTATATTTCTTGAAATACTCTTTACATCCCAATAGCAATCAATAACAATGCTCGGACAACAAAAATTGTTATCTGTGGAGGCCACAGGACTATAAAAACCCCACCCAATCATTTCATTCAGACCAAATGAAATGACTGGATGTCCTATCTGTCAGTCTACCTACCTACATCATGACATGGCCCACATGCCACTCTACATGTGTACTTACTCGCGCATGTGCGGAGTCCGTCATACAGTTCCACACACACACACACACACACACACACACACACACACACCTGAAAGGCAGCAATCTAGGTTCACAAGAATGGCAGAGAAATTACACAAGTGTTTCCACTGCTAAAGAAAAAAAAGAAAAAAAAAGAGGCTCTGAACAAAAGAAGGGTGGATAAAGCAAGAGGTCAAACCAGAGAAAGCATCACTGTGGCTCTTCAACAGTGGAGAAACATGGAGTTGAAAGGCCTAGAAAATTACGCCAAGGTTGCTATTTTTCTGTTTTGCAGGTAATTACCTGGTTTGTTTTGTTTATGGGGTAATGTTAGCAAAGCTACCTAGCTAATCTTTATCTTTATACACACATACATTACATAGGTTTGTAGGCCGTGCACGTTCATGTGCTTTGAGGGAGCAGCTTTGGGAGGAGGGCTGAAAGTAGGGGATGTGATTGTTTCTGCCAGATTTTTTCAAAAACTACCTTACACTTCCTGGTTTCTACAAAATCACCTACTCCAGTTTTAAACTGCACTCATCACAAACTCATACAGCTTGTATAATCCCCAAAGTAAAGCACTGCCAATAGAATGGGACACTCTGGAGCAGCCACACACAAGGCTATGATCAAAATTGTCAAAATCGTTATAGTGTAAAGCCTTCCCAAAACAGTAGAGGCTGTTACTGCAGCAAGGGGGGACAAACACCCCATTAATACCCTTGATTTCAGAAGAGCTAGGGTCTAAAAACTTTTAGACAGATAGTGAGTTAGTAAGTGAGGGATAATGTGAGAGGCTACAAAATGAGAAGGAATGAGAATGAGACTGAGAGAGAAAGAGGGGAAGCTTGGTTTTAACAGCCTCACCAGAAGGCTGGCTCCTGTCTGAAACAGGTAGTAGGGGTACAGAATCCTCTCGTAGTGGGCACGCAAGTGAGAGCCAACAGCCTTGCCGGGAGCAAAGCCCATCTTCAGAGAGATCTGGGTCCATTTCCGCTCTCTGCAGACTGAGTCAAAACCACCCTCCTCAGTCACCAACTGCGAGGAGAACCAAGACAACTAGTTTCACTTAGGCAAATACAGTTTTGGTTGGGTAAGCAACAGTCTCTAGAAGTAAAGCTCTGGGGAGTCAACTTGTAACGGTCTACCTTGTAGAGCTGGTACAGGTCGAGAGACTTGCGCTCTACATGAGGGATTTTCAGTGTGCAGCCCTGCAGCTCCCAAAATTTGGCAATCTGGTCCAGAAAATTGAGCTTCACCCTGGTCTGAGCCTGAGAAATGTGACAGATAAACAAAAACAGAATTTTTTTTTTAATCAAACAAACTAGCATGCCTTCCCTATTTTGTGGTCATGTAACTTTCACTTCAAAATCTTTATTTTTACTCTAGCTAAGCTACGCAAAAGAATGCTTCAACAAAAAAATGTATTATTATTTTTATTATTCTTTTTAAAACGTACTCTTACCCCAAATGTGGATGATCTACAAAGACATTTTTAATGTGTGTAATTTGCTTCTGAAGTTAACTACATTTGCAGCAAGGGGAAAACCGGGTAAGTTTTATTTTTCCTTTAACCATTCATTTGAAAGGGCCATCTTCATAGAGAGGTCACATGATAATGCACGTTTCTAATGACATCTTGGTCATGAAGCTTACAAGTCTGTTAGAATAAACAGACATCCTGCTTGTCACTATAGAGTATGGATTTGACTGTAACTGGCAGCCTCCACAGGAGACCACATGGCTGTATGTTTCTGCAATATGTGAAAAGGCTTACAAACAGTAGGCTGTTACAGCACATACCTCCAACTCATTGAGCCTCTGTATGCGTGGGGTGAAATGCAGTCTGTCCACATCACAGGCAAATGGCGGTTGCCACCCCTATAAGATTAAACCAAGACATGCTGAGCCTAATGATGTGCCATTTGCCACAAACATATCTGGCCTTTTATGAACCTACAAGTTTCCATTCCACATTGTATTAACTTTCCCGTTTTAAATAACATGTCAAATAATATCAGCCCAGCCATACCTACAGCATCATATTTGCAATACTTAGCTAAAGCATTTTCATTGCAGAACAAGCTTTACATTTCCTATTTATGATAACCTATTCCAGAAATACTCTTCATTCATAATACATCAACAGATAAACGGAGCAAAACCCATAACTTCTGACACGTTTTGGAAATAGTATAGTTCATGGCTTGGTACGCGAGCACAAAAAGACACCAAACGACGAAAAGATCAATTTCAAAAATGCAACATTTTAGTTTATCGCTGAGACAATTCAATCGCTAATAAAATCTGACCAAGAAAAGAAAATAAATTAACCTATAACTATGTGGCTTCCTTGTGATTCGTAAATGTGTTCAACGCACTGATTGTCCTGTGCCACAAGTACGAATTTCATATTTGCATGATTATTTTTATCAAATTTCGGTTTCAAGTACTAGCATAGCCAAATGGCAAGTCACATGCAAATCCACCGTCTTTACACAACATGGAGGACAACACCTTTTGACGATCTAGCACTTTTTAGCTAACATATTGCACACGGCCGAAACTAAACTGTATCCCCTTTTTCATTCTTGAAAACATTGCTATAATTCACTTTTTTTTCTTAAAAACAAAATACATGGGTTGCCATGAAAGAAAATGTCAAAAATAGCTTATATACTTTAATTACGTGGTTATGAAACAAAATCCATTAAATCAACAGTGGTCCGACAGGATTACTGACATGGTTAACAAATGATAATCATAACAGCATGATAGATAAGTGAACACTCTTAACCCTAGCCACCATTTGAAAAAAAAATGTCAGCGACGTTGACTTAAGAAAATTATACAAAGTTGGGTGGAGTAAATTCTTGTAAGGCACATTATGAACAAGACGGGGCCAAAAAAGGTGAGAAAAGTTTTAAAATAAATAAAAGTATACAAAATACAATTGAAGCGGCATCAATATGCTCTGGCCTTCGATTTCAAAAGTATCAGTGCTTCGCTTGTTCCTGTTTGGGTGGATGCCCTGTGAGCACTGGTGTAGACAATAACAATCACTATTTTGTCCTCTACGGGGAACACGTTCAGCCATCGAAATGCTGGTTAAAACACATAGTACATATCCTCATAGTACAATTAACTCAGTCTTGCGATATATGCTTATAAAAGTAAGACTGAAGTGACTGCGAGTGCATTCCCATAGCTCGCTAAGCTGCAGACGCACGCGCACACGCCGTTACCGCTGGCCATCTCAACCAGAGCCGCAATCCGCCATGTTGAAAACCTGTCTTTACAAAGTGTTTCGGACTTAACTGTAAGGAACAATCAATGAGGAACACACGCTGCGGTGATGCCTCCATTTCGACATTTTTATTAATACAGCGACAAAACTTACCGGTGGTGGTCGGATCTTACAAATGCCAGTATTCTCTGCGATGGAACGTATTTTGTTGATAAACCCAAACGGGTCGGCGAATTCTTCCCAACTGGGCTCAAAGACAGGGCACTCCGGTGGTGGAATAAATTCGCTGGGTCGAGGTTGGGTCATTCTGGGGAACTGAATCCAAATGATGACATGAAGAAACTGTAGCAAACTGTTTAAAGTTAAAAACAATTGACCAGTTAGAACTATAACTAATTCATAATAAAGAGTGATTACACCTGAACTCCGACAATTAACATCCTCATCCACTTTGGAAACGTACACACGAAGGGGACTGTTGACGTTTTGAGTGTGGTCTCGTCGTGTTCCGCTTCAAAAAGTAGAGACCTCTGTTTAACTGCAACTATTGTTTCACAGCTTTCACTTCGTGACAAATAACATACATAACATTGACCCGTCGACTTGCAAATATACTCATATACTCGAAAAAATAGTGAAATATTTAATAAATAAATACACATCTATTTGCATAAAAAACAATTAGCACCACTTTATACAGATTACGACCATAGCCCGTAGATAGAGAAATTTAAACAACTGTTATAACGTTAATATTACATCACAGACCATTTTTATGTTTGAAATAATCCAAATTTATTACGAAACTATTAATGTTAGAAAAGGTACCAGAAAAAAATGCCTTATAATAATCTTTTTCATCCACAAATTTACAGTAACTCATATAACTGAGACATCTTTAAGCTGCTACAACAATATTTTATGTTACTAATACTCTCTAAAAAAAACAAGCTGAGTTTTGATATCAAACCAACAGAACTTCACTTGATATGTGTGACAACAAATCCAATGACCCAAGATAATTTTTTAGGTATGATTACATTCAGCATGCACAAATCAGCCATTACAGAAGTGGAGAAGTGACTTGCGCGGATTAATGTTCCCCAGCTGAGACCTACATAGCGACCGGAACTACTTCTTTAAATGGACTCTTTCAAGTTGCCTACGGAAGTAGCTAGATGTTGTTGTTCAATGTCGTTACCGGTACTAAGCTAACGCATTTAGATATTACAATCACCACTCAATAGCATGTGGCCAAATGCGTATATTTATTACTTTTACTTGTCAAACGACAGTACGGTAGAATTAAAAGATACTTTTAATTTCAATAAAGTCGCCTGTAGTTAGCTGCGACGTGCACATTCGCATTGTCATTCATGTGACACTAATCTGGGAGGAACATACAGAAGGCCACTGGAAAGCTTAAATATCCAGAGATGGGAAGTATGATACCTTACCGAGACTTCGGAGAATCGCTTCAGTTACAGCCTAGCAGCACTCCATTCCGTGGCTCTCTGGCAAAGGGACAGCCATCACTGCATCAGTCCATTCACACCGTATCAGCTAGCACGTACCACACGTCAACCAGCGGCGCCCAACCGCAGCGCAAGAGACTGACCGTTATTACTGACCCGACCTATCAGAGCTAATCCCAAAATCACAAACGTCGAAATACAAACGTATATGCCCAACCGATCGCCACTTTGCATGGTGCGTCTGCTATTTTCTGACTACTAATACTGATGCGTGTTAAATTATTTTCCAACGTTGACCACGGCAGTGTGGGATTAAGGTACAACAGGACACAGATCCTACGCACTGAATTATAGGCTGTTGTTTTATGTTTTTTTTTTTTGTTGTTTGTTTAATTGGCCAATTTGTTTTGCATTATAACACTTACAGTATTAGTCTGCAGCCAAACTTTGTGTTAAAAAAAAACATTTGCAAAAAACTGTGATTCTGCTGTACACATTCTTTCATATACAAAGTCTCCAACCCAGTTATGATTCGTGTTCAGTTTATTCATCCACGCTCAAAACTGCAAAACTTTTAAAGAAGATTCCAATACTTAACAAGTACTTTTTCCTTTCTTCTGCCTTCATAAACAGGAGTCGTTCGATATGATTTTTAAAAACTTACATCAAGATCCATATTGAGGATTAGAGAGGCTTTCTGCTGAATAAGTCTCCTCTACTACATAGAGACTATGGTGTTATTTATCATGATTTGTCTGATGGTGTCAGAGTTCAGAATGCTGTCTCATATCACACAGTGAATTCTATTTTATAGTATGTTATACTATAAAATACTATGTTATAGTATATTATAGTATGTATAGTAAAGTATGTGAAAAGATGAGTATAGCAAACACACCATTCTTTATGCAGGAGTCCATCAAGATCTTAAAAGAAAAATACATTTAGCAATGTTTACCAGTTTTGCAGTAGAGGTTATTATTGCAGCAAGGAGGCCTTACGTTTGGGAATGTTAAAAAGCATTTTACCGAACTCCTTCACATCATTGTTCAAATAATTAGTTATTAATGGAAATGATTTGTAATTAACAACAGAGTAACACAGTCAAGAGTGTTTAATATAAAAATTCATTACCACAAAGAAAAAAATGACAAAATGCACCTAAAAAAAAAAATTAACCAAAAAGACTTGTCCAGTATGAAACAGTAGTCCCAGCAGGCTGCTAATTAAAAATGGTTATTTGAATCTATGGCCTAAAAGGTGTTCTCATGAAAGCATTTAGGGTATGTAGCACACATACACCAACATCAAGATCAAACACTCTACTCATGGTTAACTCTGTCCAGTGCTACATAGAAACTCTTCTTGTCATCGAGATTGTGCCATCCAATGGGTCCAATTTCACAGTCGGCACAGATAAGATACTTCACCTTGCCCACATCTTTGGTGAAGCCCACGTTCTCAAAGGTGTACATATCATCTACGAGCCAGTGAGCTGTTAATGTATCCCCATCTAAAGTTCCATCAGACTGGTTAATGGTGTTCTTCTTTCGCATCGAAGGCAGAAACAGCTGGTCAGTAGGAATGGACATAGCACAGAAACACGAGTGAGATCGAGTAAATTAGCAGGAGCTCATAAGGCAACTAAAAGTTATAGCTTGTAACAGTTGAAAAGAATGGTCCCTCCCCTAAATAAATAAATAAATAAATACCCCAAATGTAGTCATTTGGCTAGGACATGTTTGGCATCCACAGTTTGTATCTTTAGCTTTGTGGGGAACTACATAGTAGAGGTGTACCCTTGAATTTACAAAATTCATTATTCAGTTTGATGTGATACAGTGGTGTCTCAATTCAATGATTTTTCCTGATACAGCAAAGTATTTGAAAATGTTATGTTAAGTATATGCACTATATAGCCAAAAGGATGTGGACACCCCTCCTAATTATTGAGTTCAAGTGTTTCAGCCACATCCTGGCTAAAATTAAGCACAGAGCCTCGCAATCTCGATAAACGAACATTGGCAGTAGAGGTAGAATGGGTCGTACTGAAGAGCTCAGGGGAAGGGTGGATTCTGGAGCAGTGGAAACATGTTCTCTGGAGTAATGAATCTGATGGACAAAACTGAATTTGGCAGATGCCAGGATAATGCCCCCATATCAGAATGCACAGTGCCAAGTTTAGTGTAGGAGGGACAATGGTCTGGGGCTGTTTTTTAGGGTTTGGGCCTAGCCCTTTGGTTCCAGTGAAGGGTAATGTTAATGCCACAGCATGCAAAGACATTTTAGACAATCATATGCTTGGTGGAAGTTTGGGGAAGGCCGTTTCAGGTTCCAGCATGACTGTGCCCCTGCACACAAAGTGAACTCTATAAAGACATGGTTTGATGAGTTCAGCCTCACTGTACACCTGTGGGATGAATTGGAACATTGATTGTGAACCAGGCCTTCTCCTCCAACATCAGTGTCTGACCTCACGAAATCTCTTTTGACTGTGATTGGGCACAAGTTCCCACAAATACACTCCAAAATGTTGTATAAAGCCTTCCCAAAATAGTGGAGGCTGTTATAGCCTGTAGGGGGTGGGGTTTGGAATGGGTTGTCCTATAAGCTTGTATGTATGTGATGTATAGACGCCCACATATTTTTGGCCATATAGTGTATGCTGACATTTAAATTTTCAGTTTATTAGAGCATTCAACATTTTAAAAGTATAATATTTGAGACTTTAGACTTGCCTGATCTGTTGAGACTGGATTCTAAGCAGCACTGAAATACTAAACAAAGGCTAAATTAAATACTAAACAAACGTGCTAATGAGCTAATATGTTATCCCAGAGCTGACGCACTAGTCACAATAGAACTATTTATATTGTTACATACCACTTAAGAGATTAATATATCATAAAATATTTTGTGGCATACACTTCCATTACTTTTTAACTACATTTTCCTTTCTAAATGTTTGCATAATTCAATTGTTAAGATGTAAACAGTCACCCAGAGAAGTCTAATGTGAAACGCTCAATTCCAGATGCTCACATCATGATACTACATAAAATGGTTATGAATACACACCCTGATGCCTAAGATAATGTTTTATTAAAGTTCTAAGGTAAGGTTTTTGCCTGAGATCATGAATGTGTGCTTCTTTAAAATACATTTTTAAAAATATATTCTTGGCATATAGGTATGTGCAGAAATTTTACTTCTTCAGGCCTACCACTATTGAATCATTATCAACTTTACATATAAAAACTCATAAAGACCCATGTAGGTACACTGGCCAGTTTGAAAAGTAAATAAAATAGCTATATTTTCGTTGTAGACGTCACAATCCCTGGTTCCTATAATCACTGTAAAGAAACAACTCACATCTAACCACTTTAAATGACTGAAAAATCAGTGGAATTTCCCTTTAAAACATTAAAAAAACGACTTGGCTGATAGATTCATTATACAAATGTTAAATTATAATTCTCCTTTAAGAGAAATTCATCTGTGATGTCGCCAGATCACATTATTCTGAGACTACTGTACGCATTTATCATGTATACATTAAATGCTAATTAGGCAGAACCTTACCTCCTTTTCAGCAAATACAGCCATGCCTGGGCAGAGCACCTTGGATCCACAACGCTGGCACACCACTGACTTGATATTTTTCCCATCTTCTGAAACAAGACTGGATGGGTCTACATACCCCTCACTGCGAGAGCACTGATTACTGCTGTCCATGGTGTAAAAAGCTACAAGAGAAACAGTTTACCACTATGAAAACATAAACTTACAGCCCGACGAGGCAATCATTTTCAGTAAAATGATCACATAAAAGCAGCAATGTTTAAACAGCTTGCTAGCTAACTTAATAGCTGCTAAAGCTAGCCAGGTATCGTTAGATAACTATGTAGACAGTAAAAATACTCGCCTCTCTCACACCATAAGGCAATATGTAATTTTTTTTTATCTCAGATATCCTCTGTTAGGTACCGTACACAAATCTGAAATGTGTTAAAATCTTAAAACCACCGGCTCATTCTTATTTGCTGGAACAACTGTTCAGTAACCGCCACTGCACGTAAATAATGCGGACCGACTGGAAACAAAATCCAAATATAGCGTTCCACCTTATACTCTACCAGCAAAAAGCCAGCAAAATCTGTACGGTAACATTTATAAATGATTTTGCATGTATTTCTATTGACCCTATTATTTACTACATTAGAGCGGACCCATACCTTGTTCCAATCAATTACAAATTTTAAAGCTCACTGAAATAGTAGTGCAAGTATACATCTTGGGATATACGTCTCTAACAAATCTATTATTAACCTTCACTTGTAATTACGTGAATATTTTGCACTCTTGCTGCTTGGTTGTTGTGCTATCCTACATGTTTTATTAGTGAAAACACAAAGCTGTAAAGTGTGATTATCTACCTGAATGATTTTGCTTTAAGTTATGGCCGCAAAGCTGGACAAAATATAGGCTCAATCTCAAATGGCCTCCTTGCCCCATTGTAATGTGCACTACATAAGTCATTACAGTCTCTACACACAAACAGTGTATTATACGTCTAAAAATGTTTATTTTTTTTTTATAAATTTATTTTCAGTCTTAGCTACAACATCTTATCTAACATTTAATGCATTATTTGGGTGTAGAAGCCATACTTCTATGACTAATGCTGCCATTTGAGATTCAGCCACAGACATGCCCTCATGCAAAACCACAATGACAGTAACACTGAGCAGGTTTTTGTCTGTACCACTCTCCGTGTACCCTAACCTGAATGTTTTTACCAATAGAAATAAACTTAATACTAGTGATATTACACTAGTAAAGAGAATGAGGCTGATTATATATAAGGTAAACATGAATAATTTCCAGAACAGATCAGGCAGCACTGTAAAATGTAATAATAATCTTTATTTAATCTTTATTTGTATAGCATATTGTATGCCCATGGCAGCTCAAAGTGCTTTACTGACAGGTAATAAAGCTCGACAGTAATAGAAGAAATGATGAGCATTAACTTAAATCATATACGACAATGACAAAGTTTAAATCATAAAGATTAATAACAAGAGACATAACATTTTATTTAAACACTAAGTTAAAGATATATGCTTTGAGTGTTTTGCTTGAATGTTTTTTAAAGTGTGCACTGAGCTTGACTGTGTAATAAAAGGTGGAATTAAGTTCCACAGTTTAGAAGCATAATAAGTGAAAGGGACCTCTCCACATTTTCTGTATTTCATGGAAGGTATTTGCCGAAGGCCAGGATCTGCATATCACATGCTGGAACATAAACAGACAGATATTCTGTGATGTAAGTGGGTGCCAGGTCATTTAAAGCCTTAAAAACTAGTAGCAGAACTTTAAAATCTATCCTCAAAGATACAGGTAGCCAGTGCAGGTCTTTCAAAATGGCAGTGATATGAGTTCTCTTTTTTGTTTTTGTTAGGATCCGTGCTGCCACATTTTGTACGAGTTGTAGAGGATGGATTGTTTTTCAGGAGCCCGGTAAGAAGAGGATAACAATAATCAACTCTGTTGTAACAAACTCATTAAAAGTGTCTCTGCATCGCTCTGAGGACGAACTTTAGCAATATTTCTCAAATGACAAAAAGTTACTTCAGTAACTATGTTGTCATGTGAGATAAAACCGAGCAAAGAGTTTAAGATTACATCCAGGTTTCGTACTTCAGGTTTCGTATCTAAAGCTAAAAAGCTGAGCTTCTTTTGGAGAATTTTTTTCTGAATTTTAGTGCCAAGGATCAGTATTTTAGTTGTTTGTAATTTAGTTGTAGAAAAGTTTGACATCCACTGAGAAATATCTGACATACAGCTGGTAAGCCTGTCAACTGAGACTTAATATTCAGAAGTAATGGAAATTTGTATTGTGTGTCATCAGCAAACCTATGAAAATTGATATTATGTTCCCTAATGACATCACCTAGAGGTAACATGTTCAAAGAGAAAAGCAAAGGCCCTAAAACTGGACCATGTTCTGTACAGTACTGGACCTTGTGGGAAAAAACAAATATATATATATATATATATATATAGAGAGAGAGAGAGAGAGAGAGAGAGAGAGAGAAAGAGAGAGAGAGATGAATGATTTCCCATTGAAACCAAGAACTGCCTATTCATTATATATAATGTAAATCTTTCTACAACTGTGCCTGAGAGGCCTACTCAGTATTCAAGGTGGCTAATTACAACAGAATAGAAGGATTCTGTGCATCAGCTCTAATTCTGAGGTCTTTGACAACATGCACCAATGCTGTCTCAGTACTATGGTTAGAACAAAAACCTGATTGAAACTTCTCATATAACTTGTGTGATATGAAATACGCATTTAATTGCTTGAAAATAACATTTTTAAGACTATACTATATAGGTTTGAAATTGGTCTAAAATTATTTAGACCAATGATAACTATTTAGAGCTGGTAGACCAGCTTTGTTTAGCTGCTCAGAGCTGGATGACCAGCTTGGCCAGCTAATTAGAGCTGGCAGACCAGTTTGACTAAACTGTCACAGCTGGTAGGCCAGCTTGGCCTTTGGTGAAAGCCTTCGGTTTGTCTAAGCTGATGGGAATGACAGAGTTGGCTAAGGGACTCCATCAAAATAGTTGTTCTGCTTTTCTTATGTGTATTTATATTTACTTTAAATACACCAACCAGCCTCATCATTATGTCCATCTCCTTGTATCTACTCTATTTGTCAATTTTATCAGCTCCTTTAGTTTTTTAACACCTGTAGTTTTTAAACACCTCAGTGTCACTGCTGGACTGAGAATAGTCCACCAAACAAAAACATCCAGTCAACAGTGTCTTGTGGGCAGCGTCCTGTGACCCCTAATGAAGGACTAGAGGATGACCATCACAAACTGTGCAGCAGCAGATGGGCTATCGTCTCTGATTTTACATCTGCAAGGCGGACCAACAAGGCAGGAGTGTCTAATAGAGTGGACAGTGATTGAACACAGTGTTTAAAACTCCAGCAGCACTGCTGTGTCTGATCCACTTGTACCAGTGCAACACACACTAACACAGCACCACCCTGTCAGTGCTGAGAATGATCCACCACCCAAATATTACCTCCTCTGCAGGGGGGAGGGGGGAGGGGGTCATTGAAGAACAGGGTAACAAAGTATGCAGAGAAACAGATGGACTACAGTCTAAATAAAGTGCACTTTTACAATATGTTGAGCTGATAAAATGGACAAAGTGTAGATACAAGGATGGGCACTTGAAGTGGTCAGATGGTGTATATGATAAATTTGTATTGATATATCTGCATTACAGTAAGTAAATTACTGATATCTTTATATTGGACACTTAACTACAAAATACATAAATTAATAAATGTATTTGGTTAAAAAGTATAGCATAAATGCAGCAGACAACTCTAAAAGATATGTATAAACACATATGTTATTATCTTATGAATAACTAATAAGGAACAAATGAGGTTTTCTGGTATTATTATTTTTAAATAAAAAATATAATTATTATTTTAATGAATAAGAAAGGAAAGAAATGAATGACATAAAAGAGAAAAGACATGCTCACAGATCCTGGTTGATTATGCAGTGTAATCTGATTTTTTAAATATGTAAATTATTTATAATATTTTATGCACAGCCTAATATAAAATGTTCAATTCAGTATATAAATGTAAATGGCTGTAAGTTATTATAACTGAAAATAGGAAGTGTACAAGGTGATTTTGTACCACTGAAAGCTGTGTGTTATGGCACTTCTGATTTGGCCCAACAAATCACGTGTGACGTATGATCAGATTCACAGTGATTCATACAGGCGTGTGTCTGGGCCTCGTTCTGAAGACAGACCTGCCGCATCTTCTAAACTGTTTTTCACTTAAAGCGCCATAACTGACATTATGCTTGCGACGGGTTTCACCCATTTCTGGTGAGTAATGCTTGTGTTTTTGTGTATATTTCTGCTTATTTTTCCGTTCATTAAGCAACATCCACTTCCTAAGAACGAGCTGATGTTTCTAGAAAATACTGGCTACCGCTAGTTTTGTTTTTAGGACGTAGTTATCTGTCGTTTCGTTTCTCTGGTAATTTAACGCTAGCTAGCTAACCTAACAGGTTAAAGTAGCTGTAAAGTTAGCTAGCTAGCTAACTTGGTTTGGTAAAATATGGCCAGCATTGCCTCAGCTAATTATAACCTGCTATAACTTAAAGTAAGCACAAGCTTAACTAATTACTTGTAAAGTTAACATTGCCCTATATTTCTTACCTTTATGTTTTATTAAAGTTTATTTAGTTTATTGCACATTGCCATCACAGTATCAGTCATTCTGCTGTTAAGATAACTAGCTAGTTTGGTAGGCTTAGGTAGCTAGTTAATCTGCTTGTTCATTGTTAGCTGTAACTTATTCTGCACACACAGCGAGCTTTTTCAGAAGTAGAGACGTTCTCATGTGCCACCCTAAAGCAAAACTCATGCGCAATGTGGCCATGCGTGTCAGAGTCACAGATTCAGATTCAGGACCACCTGGACCACTAGTTCTCTTGCATTTACATAATGTCTGACTCGGGTGTATGATAAAGTTTTAATATCAGTATTTTTCTAAACATGCAGTATTGCAAATGCTGTTAGAGGGGTATGTTAGAAGTTATTGCCAGCTAGTCCAATTCACCTATTTTTGTTCATATATAAAACTTGTAGAAAGAGAGGAGAGAATTTGCCAAGGGGTCCTGTCCAGTTACTGAAAAGTTTGTTTACTTCAATTTTCAGGTAAGTGTGACTGAATTTATAAAGCTGTTTGTTACAGCTTGAAATGTTCTGTTAAGCACTATGTATGGATCAGCTCGGCTGAATGCTACTACCACTAATTAGTTATCCTATCACTGTTAGCTATGCAATGTACAGTTGTCTATTTTTGAAAAAGTATATCCTTCAAGCGTTTACTCACAGATTAACACACATCATATTTTTGTCAGTGGTATATTTGCTTGACAGTTTGCAGTAATCGTATGGATAGTTTGCCTTATATGCAAATACCCAGATCAGTGTAAAACAAAGCATGATAGTGCACTTTATTTTAACATTATAA